AGAGAGAGAGAGATGGAGAAGGAAGGAGAGGAAGAGGAAGAGGAAGAGGGGGAGAGTCAAGAGTCAAGAGGGAGCGGGGGAAGAACTAGGGAAAGAAAAGTGAACACATCCATTCCACTTATGCTCCAGATCCCATCATACCGGTATTGGAGCCGTGAGCTGTCTCTATGATCATAGTGGAAATATCTGACGACTCGAATATCCCATTTTTGGCCGCCCCACAACCAGGCTAACCTCCGCTATGATACATCAAATCTCTCCCAAAATATCCGGTGAGAATTGAGAGCATTACTCTCGAGGACGCGCTGAGCATGCTCGATGAAAGTTTGCTCAAGATTGGAGGGGGGGGTTGGCCATTTAAAGTCCCTTCTTATCAGGACAGGAAATACCGTAGCGCATAGCATCGGGGCCAGCAGCAATACGGAATGACCGCTCATTCACCACGAGGACATTGGGCGGGGTGCCTTGTTTCCGTGTGCAATGCATGTAATGAAATTGGGGGCTTGGTGAACAAAGAGCCGTTGATCAAAAAAAAAACGAACATAGCCAAGGCCCTCAATGACCTGGAACACAGTGGACGGGATCCAAGACCCGGTTGCTCCAATGGCATCGGTATTACATGTGTGCAATGCCGGCACCAACCCCACGATCTCCGGAAATCCCTCTAGCATCATCTATTGGGCAACTCCTCCGCATGGAGGTACAAGTACGAATGCTAGTGGGTTACCGGTATGGTATCGAGGTTGCTGGTGAGTTTATCTGTGAAAATTACAAACAGGTATGCCATGGAGGACGGTGCCGCCGCGTCACGGGGCTCGATCTGGTCTGGCTAGAATTTTGTGATGCGCCGTATTGAAAAGTGGTAATGTCCAGATTCATTTCTGCTGGAACAAAGACGCTTTGTGGAACCGCCCATTAAAGTTGCATTAAGTTGGGGGAGCGCTGAGCCGGTACTCGAGTACCTGCTTCGGTGCACAGGATTTAGGATGAACACGGCAACCTATTTCGCGGGACACTGAGAGGCAGCTGCCAGGAAGACAATCCTTGAGCCAAAGTTACGTGCCGTACCATACTATGCTCGGTACAGAGAGTACCGGTACTCGTACAGTACTCGTACTCTCACTGTACGAGTATTATACGGGTAGATGTACCGGTAGTGCACTTGCACACATCCCCACACACACATGGTCTACCGGTACCCATCCAGAAGCATGATACTCCCTTAGGCACGGGAAGCTAGCAAAGAGCACTGCAGTATCTACCGTACCTGGAAAAGCAAGATCGACCCACGCTTTGTTTTACGAGCACTGGAAGGTGGGCCTTGTACCGGTAGCCTACCGGTATTTATGATACTATCCATGTTTGAGCTTGCTTCGTATTTGAGCCCACCGGGAAACGCCTTCGGAGGAGGGTCAGGCACCCAGGTAGAAATCAGCACCGTGCATACTGTGGTTCACTGCTTTTTACCCCACGGCAGCGGTGGCAGTTCCCCATCCCTCTTCTGCACTGGTGCTCTCTGCTTGCTTACCCTTGTGCTCGGTGGGCGTAAATAAGACCTTTATTCTTATTGTAGGTATTGTATTGTCGTTTTCATTTCTTTATTGTCCGCGCGGCGCCCCATGTAGATCGAGGACACCCATTTCTGGGCTTTGGTGCTGGCAGTGCTCGATGGTACTTGTATCATGCGGTTGGCCATACCGGTACCGGTATGCTGGGAGCCCCCAAACTCAGAAGAGTCTCGAAGCTTCAGTCACGTTTTAATCAGGGTGGGCGGTCGCAGCAACTTTGCTCCTTGGGGCAGATTACAGCGTAAGATCCGGGCTTGAGGAGGGTACGGCAGTCTACCGGTGATGGGAAAGTGATTTGGAAGTGATTTAATTATCATACCATACCCGTACCAGTATCAGGGAGGGTTAGACTCTGCTCCGAGATACTGGCACCGTGGTGCATCGTATGATATGATACCGGTATCTTGGGAAAAACGGTCAGGGCTTCCGCTATGTAAGGTTTCCCCGTCTTCAGGGACGGTACTCGTATAATACCGGTACCCATTCTACGCTTGTTGGTGACCAGGGATGCAATGGTGACGGGCTGTTCGAACACTTCGTGTTGAGTGGTGGATTCCTTGGCGCTTCAGATAGCGGTATCATGTCATACCGGGACGGTATATGTACTATACCGTACTCGTACGTCGACGATGTGGGGTATGATACCGGTATGCACAACTCCCAGACTGCCCGCACGGTGGAGATCCCATAGTTACCCGGATGTGAACGTCAGCAACCTCCACACTTTAGAGCCTCCACCCTCCTGCTGCGGTACCCTCCCCTTTCCCCCTACAGCCTATACTAGCATCCAGCTTTCCTTCATTTCCACGTACCCAGAATGGCTTCTCAAACGCCAGCCGTTGTCATGGACAAGTAAGCAGCTCCCGTCTATAGAGAGTCTTAGCTTGGTTCCTCCAGTTCTCTTAGTTGTATCCCATTGCTGACCGGGCCATCTGCAGCGGCACGGGCTATTCCAAATTAGGTGAGCGTCCCGGTCCCCACTTTCTGGCTTGCTATCTCGGCGTACTAAAAACCTGTTTTATAGGATTTGCCGGAAACGATTCACCATCATTTGTGTTCCCTACGGCCATAGCTATCAAGGGATCCTCGGGCGGAGGTGGTGGTTCGGGCTCGGGGCGTCCGGCGGTAGCTCAGAAACCCTCTTACCTAACCGGAGGGGCTGGTCCATCTGGCCATTTGAGTGCCAAAAGGGGTACTGAGGACTTGGATTATTTTATTGGGGATGAAGCATTGGCACAAGCAAGTGGACCAGGTATGGGTCGCTGTTCTTTTGACGGGAGTTGCGGGAGGAGGGGTCCATTGTTCCGGACCCGGAGATTCTGGGTTTCAAGAGGGGAGATAGCTGACGGTTGGTGACAGGCTACGGCATCCATTATCCGATAAGGCATGGCCAAGTTGACAATTGGGTATGTCCTGTTGCAGCGAGACAAAAGGCAACTGGGAACTCTAATGATCTTCACAGGACCATATGGAACGTTTCTGGCAAAACTCCATTTTCAAGTATCTTCGAGTTGAGCCGGAAGACCACTATTTTCTTCTAACCGAACCTGTGATTATCACCTTAGAGTGTTCTACATAAGCTTGTGGGCTGACCTGAACCTTGAAAGCCTCTAAATCCTCCGGAATCCCGTGAAAACACCGCCGAGATCATGTTCGAGACCTTCAATTGTGCTGGGTTATATATCGCCGTGCAGGCGGTACTGGCATTGGCTGCAAGTTGGACCAGTAGCAAGGTTCAAGACCGGAGTTTGACTGGTACTGTTGTTGACTCGGGAGATGGCGTTACACATGTTATTCCAGTTGCTGAAGGTTATGTCATTGGATCATCGATCAAGTCCATTCCTATCGCCGGGCGTGATATCACATTCTTTGTTCAGTCGCTTCTCCGTGACCGAAACGAACCCGACTCCTCTTTGAAGACCGCTGAGCAAATTAAGGAGGAATTCTGCTATGTTTGTCCGGATATTGTGAAAGAGTTCACAAGATTTGACCGAGAGCCAGAGAGGTTTCAGAAATACGTTGTCGAGCAGCTTGGAGGCCGGAAAGTTACCGTAGATGTGGGGTATGAGCGGTTCCTGGCTCCCGAGATCTTTTTCAATCCCGAAATTTACTCTAGCGATTTCTTGACCCCCTTACCCACTGTGGTGGATACTGTTATACAAAGCTCTCCAATTGACGTCCGAAGAGGTCTCTACAAGGTATGGAAACAAATACCTATGCTAGGTTCAGGACTAATGACACTTTCTCAATAGAACATTGTTCTTTCTGGCGGTTCTACGCTCTATAAGGATTTTGGTCGGCGTCTTCAGCGTGACATCCGCCATCTTGTCGACGCTCGTATCCGCAAGTCGGAAGAGAAATCAGGCGGTGTTAAGTCAGGCGGGCTGGAGGTCCAAGTTATTACCCACAAGAGGCAAAGGCATGGGCCATGGTTCGGGGGAAGTTTGTTGGGTCAAACACCGGAATTCAGAAGCTACTGCCATACTAAGGCTGAATACGACGAGATTGGACCAAGCATCGTAAGAAGGTTTGCGTTATTGGGTGGTCCTGGGCAGTGATACTTGTCATGTCCCCCTTGAGCGAACCTGGGCGTGAGCCTCCGGTACTGGGCTTGGGGCGGGTAGGGCCACTATCGCAGGATAGACAAAATAAAAATGGTTGATTTCTTTTTTTCCCCCTTGGGAGGTGTAACTTAAATTCATAAGACAATACCCAGTTCAATTTGTTCTTTAGATCAGTTGATAATTCTTGGTACATGACTTTAAGAGGCGTCTACATATTTATTCATTTTACAGGGATACTCTGTATTTTGTGGGATTATTGTGATTTATGTGCTACACTAATAGTACAGTAGAAGATAGTAGAGCTAAGTATTAATTTAGTAGGGTACGCACTGGTGTCGCGCTGCATGGAGCTCTGCCTACGATGATAGTACCTAACAATCAATCCCAGTAGTCGACTTCTATCATAGATAACGAATTATCCATCTGGCACCCCTGAATCTTCCTAAGGCCTCAAAAAGATCACCGTTCACGACCCAGCTTCTTGCTCGGATGGCGGTACACCTTCGCGTAAGCCTCCTCAAACACCAACTTTTTAGGCACCAGGTCGCGCGGATCAATCATGAGCCTCCGGACAACCTTGAAAGCGCCCGTGCCGATGCTCATGGACTGGCCGAGGATGATGCATTCGGAAACGCCCTCAACGGCGTCGCTCTTCATGTGGAAGGCGGCCTCGAACAGGTGGTCGGTGGTCTTCTCGAACGAGGCGAGCTGCAGGACGCTGTCGCGCATCTTGGCTAGTCCGAATCGCGTGATCCCTAGAACCTCGCCTTTGTACGTCATTACGTCGCCGAGGAGCTGCATGTGGCGGGGGTCGATGTCCATGCCGTGCTCGCGCATGGTGTATGATATTTCGTCTATTATAGAGCCCCTATTCATCCATCATCATCATGAGCTATGCCGTTCAGAGATTGGTTAGGGAGCGAGGAGGGGGGGGGGTGTCAAATACCTAGCAGCTTCAATCCCCAAAACTTCCCTCATCTCCATGATGCTGTTCGACTTCGTCTTCGTGCCCACCACGCCATCCGTGTTCATGCATAGTTTGAGTCCGTAGCCCTCCACCAATATCTGGTTCTTCCCCGTCTTGTCGTCCTTCTTGACCACCGCCCTCGCGGCGTTTGGGTACCCCTTCACCGCCACACGCGGCAGCGTACGCTTTAGATTCTGCACGCGTAGGAAGACGTCCGGCTCGTCCTTTGTGCGCTTCCGGTCCTTCTCCGCCATCTCGTGTACGTAGATTCTTATCCTGTTGCCGATTACGCGGATGTCTTGACGGTTGATTTTCAACTTGGCTTTTACGAGGGCAGTGACGATGTCATCGATGGTTAGTTCTAGTTGGAGCCTGCTGATGGTCTCTTGGTCCAGGCGGATGCTGACGTAGTTGTCGTCTCGGGAGCAGACGTCTTCTATGTAGGATATTATCTATGTGGGGTTGAGTTAGCCGGCAGGACCGAGTGATTTTGTATGCGTCGAGAAGGAGGAGGGAAGCCTACATCCTCCAAATAAGTTTTTTCAATCCTACCCTTGACAATCCTTGCAGCTCGCTCGTTGTCTTCTGTCACTAGTGTGCAGGTGATGATAGGCGTGCTGATGGCCTTAGAAGCGTTGATGATTTCCTTGATGCGTGGAACTCCGAGGGTGACGTTCATGGAGGCGACACCAGCGAAATGGAAGGTTTTGAGGGTCATTTGGGTCCCAGGCTCACCGATCGACTGAGCGCCAACGGCGCCTACCGCAGACCCAGGCTCTACCTTGGCCTTCTCGTACTTCGATAGACACTGCCGGAGGAATTCCCGAAGGTGTTTTTCCGAGATTTTCATGATGCGGTTTACGGCATTTACGTCGTGGGCTTTAGCAGCGTTAGCGCAGGTTCTCTTAGGGGGCAGAGGAGAGATGTATACCTGCAAAGTAGGAGTCATCCACGTCCATGTAATCTGCGTCTGGGGGTTCTTCGTGTGACGGTAAGTTGTATCTTAAACGTAATGCGCCAAGTTTGCGTGCCTTTTCGATCATGTAATCTCGGATGGAATTGTAGAATCTCCGCTCGCTCTCATGTTCGTCGAGGGTTCTGTCTGTTAGGCCTTTGTCTGGAATTGCGTTTCCGAGTAGATCTATTCTGGGTAGTTTCTGCTGAAATGGGCTCAAAACCTCGTCGCAAAGTGACACTAACTCGTATGGGAGAAGGCCTTTGTCGGCGTTGCTGAAAGTGATATTCTGTGAGCCCGGTTGGTGAGACACTGCAGGAAGCGCATTGAGGGAAACGGCGAACTTACCTCGCAGTGGTAGAATGTTCTGTTGAAGTTCACCGGCTGTGCGTTTCCCTCCATAGCGACAGGATCTAGGTTGTCGCCCCCATACTGGAACTGAACGACGCCTGATGATGACGTTCTGACAGTGTAATCGTAAGAGGCGGACAAGTCCTCCAAGGATTTCATTAGACGACGTGACATGTACCCGGTCTCGGCAGTCTTGACCGCAGTATCGACCAGACCTTCACGACCAGATATAGCGTGGAAGAGAAATTCTGTGGGGGTTAACCCTGAGTAGAAGCTGTTTCTGACGAAACCTTTTGATGGGGGCTGTTTTGCTAATGGAGAAATATTAGCGAGAGTGCAGAGTCAATAAATTCAGAATTGCCTACAATTCTTAGGGAAATGAGGAAGCGAACGATCCTGAAATCCATCCGGGACACGCTTTCCGCTAATAACCTGTTGCCCTACGCAAGCAACCATTTGTGAGACGTTAATTTTGGAACCTATTCGGCGTAAACATATCAGCCATTGTAAACCTCCAATATACTTGCTCTTACCTTTCGACCCAGAGTTCGCCATAATTAAAGGGGAGTTATTCTTGCTCAACTCTCTCATACAAATATCTCCCACCTTGTCACGGACGTTGCTCAGAATGCCCTGCACTTTGTTTTCCAGTGTGACTTCCTCGTCGCAACCCGCCTGCTTCTCCAATTTCCCTTCCTTGAAATCCAAGATGAGTGCGTCGCACTCATTATAAGCTTGCTCTACGAGCCTGTCCTTCTCCCCCCTCAGATTAGCACCAGGAAGGACGTCGTTTATACCGATCGAGAAGCCTTGATTTGCCAACCATCTTGCGCACAATTTCGCAAGTCGGTTCATGGCCTGGACAGCCTCGTCTGGTCCGTAGTCTCTTAATATTACGTAGAACACCGAGTCCTTTTTCCCTGAGCCAACAGTTGATTTATCCATGAGCCCGCACATGATTTCCGATCCACGGATGACCAACCAACCATCATTGGGACACATATCTGGGGCTTTTCCGGGAATGGCTTTGAAGTCACGACACTTTGCATCGAGATTGACCAGAACTTTGCTCTTATTATTTGGTCGCATAAGGACATTAAATACCTGTTTTCCAGTCCAGAGTCTCTGGGGTTTTAAAATAGCCGGTGGGGGCAAGTCGATTCGCATATCCCCGTCAACCATATACATACAAATATTGGCAAAGGTCTTCCTGTTGTAGAACCTATCCTTACTGCCGAGGAGGTATGAAGCTGTGATAAAATCCTGGATGGCTGCAATGATAGGTTCGCCGTTTCTAGGTGTGCAGAGATTGTTCTTGACGCCCATTAACTCTATTGCTTCGGTTCGCGCTTCTTCGGTCTGGGGTACGTGTAGATTCATTTCGTCTCCGTCGAAATCTGCATTGTACGGATTACAGACACATTCGTTGAGTCGGAAAGTCCTCCATGGTCGAACTTTGGCCTACGACAAGTTAGCGGTAGGAAATGATTCATGTCATGGGGAGCGACGTACATAATGGCTGAGAATACTCAATTTATGCAGGGAAGGCTGTCGATTGAATAACACAACATCACCGTCCTCTAGATGCCTCTCGACGATATCTCCTTCAACTAACGCATCTGCAGCACGCCGTCTGTCTCCAAATTTTAGCCACAGCTTGAAGTCGCTATCTTTCTTGATGATATAATTGGCGCCTGGCCACATATCTGGCCCGTTCTGCACCAGTTGCTGCAACTTGTGGATATTATATCGAGAAACCCTCTCCGGATACGTCAAGTTCTTGGCCACCAATATCGGCACAGCCACTTGATCGATGCTCAAGTTTGGATCCGGCGAAATGACAGTTCTCCCAGAAAAGTCCACACGCTTTCCTGAAAGATTACCACGGAATCGACCTTGTTTACCCTTTAACCTTTGGCAGAATCCACGAATCGGTTTGAGATCGCTGTAATTTCGCTGAAGGCTCGGAAGGCTGCTGTCGATGTACATGGCGATCTGGGCTTGCATATAGTCCCACCGCTCCTACGAGAGTTAACAACAGAGTCCACACTCTTAGGGTGGGTGTTGCCTACCATTAGTATGTGAATAGCTTCCCCACTTTGAAGTGCTGTTCGAATTAATGAGTTCACGAAGATAATCTCAGTGAGCTTAACAGTGAGATCATCCTCGTTGCTCGCCGAATCTTGTTGGACGGAAGGACGAATACAAATGGGCGGCGCAGGGATGTATTGCCATAGGAACATCTCTGGCCGACCTTCCTGCGGGTTCATGCCTAACAGTTCGCAATCAATGGGCAATATCTGCCTAAACATGTTGAGCACTTTGAGTGGATTAAGATCATCCATTGCCTTCTTGAGATGCTTATCCAGGTCGTGGTTTGTCTTTTTTGCTTCTTCGAATGACTGTTCAAAGGCTATTTTCGATTCCGGCGGCACCTTTTTGGCCGCGGTGGAAGTATTGAAGGCTCTAAACTTATCATGAACGATTTTGAGAGGCCCCGCTTTTTTGACAACACCATTGAGAACACCGCAGTGATAACAGACCTTAGTTTTTTTGCATTGCTCATTAATCTTCTTGCAGATGTTCGTTCGGCGCAAGTTATCTATGCCCGGCGTGCGTAGCCGCTCCAGGAAGGCTCTCGCTTGATTATCGTCGAGTAGGACCCGAGAACACTCTTTGCATATATTCTGAAGAATAGTTATTATCGCCTTGAAGTATCCAATGTGAAAAGCCGGCAAAGCCAGCTTGACATGCCCGAAATGACCGTTGCAGTTTGTAAGGCCTTCGCCGCAAGTCTCGCAAACCCCAGACTTCGAGGACGTTCCCTAAGTTGTGACGACATAAGAGAGTTAGTCACCCATTACGCCCACGGCGAAAGAGACCGCCCTGCAACTCCACAGCTCACCATTCTTGGATCCAGCGCACCGTTCTGTTTCGGCTTTCTCCCACCGCCTTCTAGATCGAATAACTCCCTCTTAGCGACCTCTATGACACCTTGCTTTACTACATCTTGTGGTGACCTAACAGGGACTCAGAGTCAGAAAGCGGCACCAAGAAACTCCACCGCGCCGGCAGGGAACTCACATAATCCCGAATTTCACCTCCTTTATCCTCTTCGGCAGGTTATCCACCACCTGCTCCTTCATCCCCTCCCTCGTTGCGGTAGACAGCATTGTGTGCGAAGGTTGTGAACTGGGTGTTGGCAGTGGTCGAGAATCTTTAGCAGAAATGGCCGATGATCTGTCTGATGCCAATAAAATTGTATATTAAAAAAAAAAAGCGGGGGGGCTTTAGTAACCTGAAGAAAATCGATCTGCTATCGAAGAAACATGGGACTTGGCGCGTGTGGGAGAAGACAAAGCGTGAAGGAGTGGGAGGTAGAAAGGGAGTTTGTATGATATCATAATATCATAGAAATTGTTTGGAGGGCTTTGCTAAACTGCTACAAGAGTGGCTCTGGTCTCCTCAAACCGAAACCCCGGTCTCGGTTTGGACCTGGACATGACCGGGTAACTGGTGCATGCCCAATCCCGACTAGAACTATAACATGTCTTCTCACTCGTAATCCTGAGATCCTCAGATCCTTCTCCGAGCTCGTTGTTGGGGGTTGCAGCAACAGGTTGATTGAGTTACTGGCTGCGCTTCGTAGTCAAGAGGCGGCCGCTTCTGATGTATCCCTAAATTCACTGAGAGGTCAAGAAAATAGGCGCATGGCTTCTGATACCTGAATCGTGTCAATAACCATGATGCTTTTCCAAGAAAGCTCCCCCCCCCAGCCCGGCTCTCCCACTCCACCTTCGAGGGAGGCAAAGCTCCCCTCCCCCATTCCGCTGTTTCGCTTTCACACGAGTGCGATCCCATGACTTGCTAACTTGAGAAATTACCTCTACGTTTTTTTTCTTTCTTTTCCTTTTCCTTTTAATTCTGCCCGGGCTTCGGTCATTGTGTTGTGGCCTTGCGAGGGTTGTGGCCGGGCAAAAAAGAACGAGGGATCATCATCAGGCCTTGATTTTTCGTTTGATGTGCTGGTAAAGTGGCGGTGTCAGCCCCTTGGTCCGATTAGTGGCTTTTTGGCAGCGGCAGCCCACTGCTCGTTGCCATCTGTGATATTGGGATAATGGGTTGTATCCCTGGAGGCATCAACGTCATCAAGTTTATGGCACTGCCGCACTCCTTTAAACTAGTAACTACGCTGGGAAATACATAAGATTTCGTTATAGATGGAAATAGGTCCAAGAAAAAAAAGGTCAGAATAGCTTCATGAGTTTACAAAGAATCATTCAAGAAATACACCGTGACGCAATCAATGAAAAGACCCAAACGAACGCCCAAACATAAGAGAACCTTGAGAAACTACATTCGTCCACTGTTCCTTTTGTTGATTTCCGCCAACAAAACGGGTACGGAGAGAAAAAGGGGGAACGAACGAAAAAAAAGAAGGCCCATATCCTTTATATAGCTCTCCCGGAAGCAGTTGCTTGGGCAGGAGCTGGAGTCGGTTCTGTATCGAATGTCAGATGAGTGTGATCCCCCAATTTCCTGGGCTTGTACAAGTGGCTGATGGTGAAGAATGCACCGAGGACCACGCAGAGACCCGAAACGAGCACATAAGTTATACCCAACCATGGGTTTCTCCCACCAAGGACGCTGGATGTCGAGATGACAATAGACTTGGTGCCGGAGTACTCAGAGGACGGAAAGTTATAGGCGATTTGCACCTCATAGGTCCCGCTCTTCATAGGCGCAGAGTCGTTCTTCATCGCAAGCTTGTTGAACATCGGGAAACCTGCAGTTCTCATCCAAACTTGGAACTCTTCCATATCGTGCAAGTTGGGAAGTGTTTCGTTGGTATATGTTTCGCCGTATCTCTTAACCCAGTTCGGCGGCGGCACAACCTCATCAGGTTTATATTTGGTTGCTCCGTACCTCCCCTTATCTGAACTCCATGATATCCCTTTGTTTGTCATGTGATAGGTTTCGTTATCTTTGCCGCTACCATCTCGTGTGTTGAGGAGAACAGGTTGTTCGAAGGTGTCGTTGAACATGGAATTTGCAATCAATCCGCATGGATAATAAGGTTTCCCTTCGGAATTTGCGTCAAGCGGCGCACAGGTAGCTAGGGCACCTTTCGATCGGAAATCGCCCTTCAATTGCTTCTCGTCTAAGGATTTTACGTAGCGTCGGTGGTTTTGGTAGAAATTCGTTAGTCGATAGTAGAAGAATACTGGAGGCTCAAGTTTATTTGGCAAGCTGAAATGTAGAGTGCAGGTCTTTTGTGTATCATCACTAGTACTGTTACTCGAGAATATCCATTTTGCTCGATCGTTCACAGGTGAACTGAAGTGTGTGTGGACATGTTCCGAAGGGATGTCTTTGAGCTTGCCAGTCGCTTCTGGGCAATTGGTGTAGTCGATGGAGATTTCTTGTATCTTGGAGCTGCCCCATATCATGAGGCCTCCGATTGGTCCAAGTACGATACCGAGCGCGAAGAGGAGAGGAAGAACAGTTCGCGGTGTGAGAATTGGTCTGGAAACGGGGCATTCGAGCTTAGCAAGCCTGAGGGTTATTTGTTTGTTACCGGATATGTAGAAACTTACTGCCAAGCTTTCAAGCGCTGTTGTTTGAAAGCAGTATCTGTGATCTCGCAGTCAGCCTTTGCGTAGTTTCACAGGCTGTCTGGGTAGCTATACTTCCGGGCTTTCTGCTCTTTCTTCTTGAGCGTTGCTCTGACTCGCCGTCTGAACTAGCCATAGTGAAGTTTAGGACGTTGTGTTTGTGTAAAGGGAGAGTCGACGATTTATTTCACGGTGAAAGGGAATGAAAGAACGGTAGGAGCGAAGCCCGAGAGGATGTGGGTAATCATGGGCTATTTCTGGGCAACAACTCTATACTCGTACCTAGGGGTAGGAACCATGCCAAGTCCTTGCACTCCCATAGAATTTGTGACATTGGAAAAGATCCCTAGAGATGGCCGGGTAACTCATGTTTATTCACAACGCGCTGTGATGTTTCCCGGCCCTGCAGAACCTAACACACCGCCCGTTATTGTTCCTCTTCGGCGTGATCAAGGCTCGCTCCACCTGGCCCCCTGCGACATAATTCCCAGAGCCTGAGAAAGAATTTCCCCCATACGTGCCACAGTTATACCTCTCTCTCTATTTTGAGTGTGTATCCTGCGGAATCGCCTTCATACAAAGCAAGATGTCGGGCAATTCTAATATGTTTATGTACTCGCTGACTGTACTCCAACCTTCGGCCATAACCCAAGCAATACTTGGAGCGTTCAGTGGAAAGAAGCAGCAGGAAATAATCGTTGCCCAGGGATCCCGCTTATCGTTATTACGACCCGATGCGGCGCAGGGAAAAGTGCATTCAGTTCTCACGATTGAAGTGTTTGGAATCATTCGATGTTTGGCGGCGTTCAGATTAGCTGGTAGCTCAAAAGGTATGTCTGTGGCTTGCCCCCCAGCTTCTGCTTCCACTTTATCTCTGCAGTTTAGTGATTTTTGGAAGTTGTTTAAGGTCAGCGGAACACTAGCTGGAGGGCGGAGCTACCCACTCATAGGTAGCGGCTAGGCAACTTTTGCTGACAATTGCTTTTCTAGACTATGTGATTGTCGGGTCCGATTCTGGTCGTATTACTATTCTCGAGTACCAGCCACAAGTTAATAGGTTCCACCGACTGCATCTCGAAACTTTCGGAAAGTCTGGTGTTCGCCGTGTTATTCCAGGGCAGTTTCTTGCGTGCGATCCAAAGGGGAGGGCGTGCCTTATCTCTTCGGTAGAGAAGAATAAACTCGTCTATGTCCTCAATCGCAATGCTCAGGCGGAACTGACGATTTCCAGTCCTTTAGAGGCACACAAACCTCATTGTCTTGTATTTGCACTTGTAGCCCTGGACGTCGGATATGATAACCCGGTGTTTGCAGCGCTCGAGGTTGATTACGGAGAGTCAGACCAGGATGCTACAGGGTTTGCCTATGAGAGCATTGAGAAAATGCTAGTCTACTACGAGCTTGATTTGGGGCTCAATCATGTGGTGCGAAAGTGGTCGGATACTGTGGACCGGTCTGCCAATATCCTTTTCCAGGTACCGGGTGGCACAGACGGGCCTTCAGGTGTTTTAGTATGTGCAGAGGATAGTATATACTACCGTCATATGGGGAGATCGACCCACAGAGTGCCCATACCTAGGCGTCGAGGAGCATGCGAAGACCCTAATAGAAGAAGGACTATTGTCTCAGGTGTCATGCATAAGATGAGGGGTGCATTTTTTTTCCTGTTACAAACAGAAGATGGTGATTTGCTCAAAGTAACCCTGGATTATGATGATGAATCCGGTGTTTCACGAATAAAAGTGAAATACTTTGATACTGTCCCTATTGCTTCGAGCCTGTGCATCTTGAAGAGTGGATTCCTCTTCGTGGCCTCGGAAGGAGGCAACCAGTAAGTCTGATTCCTACGCCTCCTTATGAATAACATTTTCTTACATTTCGCCTAGCCATTTTTATCAATTTGAAAAACTGGGAGACGATGATGATGAGATTGAGTTCTCGAGTGATAGTTTCTCACCGGATCCACTTGACAGAACTGGTCCTATATATTTCCACCCACGTGCCCCAGAGAACTTGTCGCTTGTTGAGGCCATCGATAGCATGAATCCTTTGGTTGACTGCAAAATTGCCAACTTGACTGACGATGATGCGCCCCAAATATATACTGTTTGTGGATCCGGCCCACGATCTACTTTCCGGACCTTGAAGCATGGTCTCGAAACCACAGAGATTGTCTCATCCGAACTGCCCGGTGTGCCCAGCGCCGTGTGGACCACAAAGCTTACAAACGGTGACGAGTTCGATGCCTACATTGTCTTATCGTTCACCAACGGGACGCTGGTACTCAGTATTGGGGAGACGGTGGAAGAGGTTACCGACACTGGTTTCTTATCATCCGCTCCAACACTCGCAGTTCAGCAATTGGGCGAGGATGCGTTACTTCAGGTCCATCCCAAGGGAATTCGTCACATTAGGGCAGATAGGAGAGTCAATGAATGGCCAGCACCTCAGCACAGGTCTATTGTTGCGGCTTCTACAAACTCCCGACAGGTTGCCGTGGCTCTATCCAGCGGAGAGATCGTGTATTTTGAGATGGACAATGATGGGCAGTTGGCAGAATATGAGGAGAAGAAAGAGATGTCGGGAACAGTCACCTGTCTCTCGCTCGGAGAGGTTCCGGAAGGGAGGATGCGGAGTTCCTTTTTGGCGGTTGGCTGTGATGATGCTACCGTTCGAATACTCTCACTAGATCCTGATTCTACTTTGGAATCAAAATCTGTTCAAGCCCTTACCTCTGCGCCTTCATCATTATGCATCATGTCTATGCCTGACTCCGCATCGGAGACATCTCGCTCCTCAACGTTATATCTGCACATTGGTCTTTATAGTGGTGTATACCTCAGAACAGTGCTCGACACAGTAACCGGAGAGTTGACAGATACTCGAACAAGGTTTTTGGGGCCCAAACCAGTCAAGATATTCAAAGTTGTTGCACAGGGGCTACCGTCGGTCCTCGCTTTAAGCAGTCGACCATGGCTGGGATATAGTGATGCAAGAGGTCAATTTATGCTTACACCCCTAACGTACCCTATGCTAGAATGGGGCTGGACATTCAGCAGTGAGCAGTGTCCGGAGGGGATGGTGGGAATTCAGGGACAGAATCTGAGGTGAGCCCAATGTTTTCCCACAGTAGTGCGGCTTCGCGGAATCTCTGATGTATGCTAACGAATTGGTTAGAATTTTTACTATCGAGAAGCTCACGGACAATCTCCAACAAGAATCCATCCCACTGTCATACACCCCCCGGAAAATGCTGAAACACCCTGATCAACCTATATTTTATGTTGTTGAGGCGGACGCCAACACGCTTTCCGTCGCTACCAAGCAGAAACTATTGGACAGCGCCCAAAACGGCGACACCAACGAGCTCGCCCCAGTAGAGTTCGGTAACCCCCGTGGTGAAGGCCACTGGGCATCCTGCATCTCTGTCGTGGATCCCGTTGGCAAAGAGGTGACCCAGCGGATTGAACTTGAAGAGAACGAAGCCGCCTTCAGCATCGCGGCAGTCAGCTTCTCCAGCCAGGATGACGAATGGTTCCTAGTAGTTGGCACAGGAAAGGATACCCGCCTCTCCCCGCGCAAGTCCGCAAACGGTTACATCCACATCTACCGCTTCATAAACGATGGTAAGGAGCTAGAATTCATACATAAGACAAAAGTAGACGAACCCCCTCTTGCCCTCCTAGGATTCCAAGGCCGGCTGCTAGCAGGCATCGGCAAAGATTTAAAAATCTACGATTTAGGAATGAAGCAACTCCTGCGCAAAGCTCAAGGCCAGGTCGCTCCAAACCTCATTAATGGTCTCCAGACACAGGGATCGAGAATCATAGTCTCGGATGTGCAGGAATCGGTGACCTACGTGGTATATAAGTACCAGGACAATCGTCTAATTCCCTTTGCGGATGACATGATCCCGCGCTTCACCACGTGTACTGCAATGGTAGACTACGAGACTGTTGCGGGTGGTGACAGATTCGGCAACTTTTGGATCGTCCGCTGTCCACAAAAGGCCTCCGACGAATCCGACGAGGACCCTGCCGGTGGACACCTTATTCATGAACGATCATACCTCCAAGGCGCCCCCAACCGGCTGAACCTAATGTGCCACTTCTACCCCCAGGACATCCCAACGAGTGTTCAGAAGGCACAATTGGTGACCGGCGGCCGCGACACGCTTGTCTGGACCGGTCTCCAGGGAACAATCGGCCTCATGGTTCCTTTTGTCAGCCGCGAGGACGTGGACTTTTTCCAGACGCTGGAACAGCACATGAGGACCGAAGACGCGCCCATTGCTGGAAGGGATCACCTAATTTATAGGAGTTACTACGTGCCCGTGAAGGGCGTCATTGACGGGGATTTGTGCGAAAATTTCTCACTCTTGTCTAGGGATAAGAAGGCCATGATTGCCGCGGAGTTGGATAGGAGTGTCAGGGAGGTGGAGAGGAAGATTGCTGTGAGTCACGCCCCCCCCCCCCCCCAGATTGTTTGAGCCAGTGGACGGGTGCTAATTATTCGGTAGGATATGCGGAGTCGGGTTGCGTATTAGTTTGGAGCGGTTGGTATCATCTCAAAAAAGTAGGATAAAATAATAAGGCAGATTGGAAAACACGATGGAATGTATCCTAAAAAAAAAGCGGCAGGCAGGGGAGCGGAAATTCCAATCCTTTTGTTTGCGATGTGTTATTGCTAGCATTGAATGCCATTGGGTTTTCCACAATTATCACATTAGCCTGCCTGAGAGCCTTACATGTATACCGTAGCACAGCACCGACGGACATTTGTCGCCCCATAGTTTGACAGTATCAGACTAGCATTATAGTATCATAATACACCGTAGTCATTCAATCTCACTCGGTCCTGCAGGCTTCTTGCCCTACGGTACTCATGGTACCCACAGGTATTCCAATTCACGCTCAGGGTGTCTATATAACATACGGTACAAGTCAACTATGATACCGGTATTCGGCAGCAATGACTCGTTTTATATTCCCACTTTTCCAACCCCATGCCATAAACCACCGATTCCCTCTATACGGAACATAAAACCACACCACAAAAAAAAGGGGGGGCAATGGAATCGCTGCCCATCCATCCGCTCATCCGGCCACTTTAGGGTTGAAAGATCCACCAATAAACAGTAGTAGCAGTAAGGTATCCCACTCATGCAGCACTCCCCTCCTCCAGCCTTCTCCTAATATCCGTACTACTCATTTTAACCCCGCCTTCATTCTCGATAACATCCACCTTATACACCTGCAGTGCATCCCAGCTCTTTTCCGTGCGCTTCTTATTGACCGCTTCACCACCATTCTTTGTCTCTTCGGATACGACGAGCGCGGATATAGCCTCGTTAGTAATCGTGGGCCCAAAGGGATCGTTAATCTCTACAGTTTCGATGACAAGCTCCTTTTCACCACAGGGGATAGTGTTGGTGATTGACCGGGGCGTGATGTCCGTTTCCGGCGTCGACGATGAAGGCGAGGTCAAGGGTGGGGATGGGTTCGCGGAAAAGTCGGTGATGCTGCAGAGGAAGTCTACGACTTCTGCCGAGCGGCTGCCCCAGGAGCCTAGGTGTGCGCTGTGCTTCTTGTTAATAAGGAGCGTTTCGCCAGTTATGCCTGCCACGAGACGGGGCGCTGCGGCGTTTGGAGATAGGAGGAAGGCGGTCATTGTGAGGAGGAGTTTGTGGCCGGGGTGGAGGTGGTCGAACGTCCCGCCAACTTTATACGGGTCAGTAAGCGGATGTGTGGGGTAGTGTTTGTAGGCAACAAACCGGCTACTATCAAGTGCTCGACCGCAGTATCGTCAAGCCTATCGTCTTCAACTGCCTCTTCTGACTTCTCTCCACTTGGAGTGACAACTTCGCAGCGCCATACATCGGTGCATTCGGTAACCTTATCGCCACGATAGCCCAGGAATGCCTTTTCGATGACCTGGCCCTCCGTTTCTTCCTCCTGTCTAGTTTCCTGCCCCTCCGAGGACCCCGGGTTGCGTGTTCCCACAATGATGTTCTTCCATTCCCGCCCAGATTTTGCAAGCTCACGTAGGTCAATAACTGGCCCAAACCCAGAAGTCTCGCCTTCCTCTTTGGACTCTATATCACTTAGGAGGATGATTCGGGCATCTACCATCAACTCTCGTTTCTCCTCAGCGGCCACAGAGTTTACGATTGAGTACAGCCTCGCCAATAAGCGTTGGGTCTTGTCAAAATGCCTTCCACGAACCGCACCAAGAGAAGAGAGGAATGGAGTATAAACAGCGATGTCCAAAGTCGAAGTAGTATCCGAGGGAGCAGCTCTATAAGCCGCGCCAAAGGCTAACTTGTAGGTATTCCTTAACGAAGCCAACGAGTGACTCCGGGGTGAGGGTAGAAGCAGCAAGTTTTGTTCCCTCTCTCCGTGTCTCGTTTCGACCTCGAGGTTTCCATGTGTCTGGTTCAAGGCGCTATTCCCAGTACCCTCTTCTAATGAGTGATCATCATCGATATCCAAATCGAATTCATCATCTTCAACTTCGTCGCCTACTATCCTGCTCCCAATTTCAACCTCTCCTTCCTCTTCTCCATCGGCTTCCTCTTCATCAGATTCCGATTCATCGCTATCTGGATAGTCCTCATCCTCATCTAACTCCTGTCCATGTTCTCTAGCGCTAGCCCTACGGTCAAACTCATCAATCTCTTCCTCATCAGAGTCCACCTCGCCAAAAGAATTCTTAGACTTTAAGCCTTCAGCCTCCGGTGGGAGAGTCAAATTGTCCTCAGGGATCAGGCTGTATTTTTCAGATACCGTTTTAAAGAACTAAGGCTACCGCAGTTAGGGAACACAGACGACAGGTAATGAGGGGGCAGAGGGAGCAACCAAATATAGCCCAAACTCGTTCTCCACCTCCCAGAAAACGCTCCGGTGTTGAAACCAGGCATGCGCAAATATCCTATACAACCTCCTAAAGATGCTCGCTAAGTGCTTGACACTGGCATTTTGAAGACTCAGCCTACTAGGGAAATAGCGAGTAGTGCAAAGCATAGTCGCAGCCTGGTCCAGGGTATGCGTAGAGTAGTCAATTGCACAGCAAGACTGCGGCGGATCATGCACAGCGCAAAGATACTGCCATTCACTCGCTCTCATCTCGGGGCAAGACGAAGCCGTACAATTGTCCTTGAGGAGAGCTACCAATAAGGTATTCAAATCCCTGGTCAGGCGACGAGTGAGTTCGTAGCACCATAGGTATTCTTCAATACCCTCCGGAGGTGCCGCCAGGCGTTCGCATGCTTCTCGGGATAGGGGAACAGTGCTATCTGAGCCCGGCGGAGAAGTGGTGGCTGCGAGTAAAGAGGCCAAATGCTCTTGCAATTGAAAAGCCGAATCGAGTTCGCTGAGGGGGACTAGTGGAGGCCCAGTAGCGATATGGCGAGACCTGGTGCCAGGGCGGATGCGACGGGTGACAGAACCCGACACGGGCCTCACAGGAGACTTGGAAAGGGAGAGGGATAGCGTAACAGGTGAGATTTGGACTTCAGTGAAGGGAGGAGGCGAAGGGAGTCGTGGAGGAGAGGACAGTGGGTTGGAAGAAGGACCCATAGCAGCGGCACCAGTAGGTAGTGGAAAATTGCAGTGGAAAGTCGCGGGTGAGGGAGATCGGAGACAAGAATGTCTGGGCGATGCTACTCGAGTGGCGGGGGAGGGAGGGGCTTCGTTAGGGTCGAATCGATGGGGCCAACGATTGCGCGCCGAGGCACATAGGTTAGGGGAAGCTCCGAAGGAGAAATACTGGTAGGGTTGAGTTAACTATGGTACGGCAAGGCCCCGAAAGGGTTTTAATGGATGGCAGTACTCGTATGATATCAGGTTACAGAGTGATCTAACGATAATTTACAGGGGGAGAGGCGTGAGGCGCCAAATGAGGCGTCAAATGAGGCGTTACTCGAGTAAGGAGGGGATCGGGTTGGTGGACCCACACAGTAAATTACCGGCACGAGTGAAGTTAACTGCGGTACGAGTATGGAAGCGATAGTGGTATCGTGCTTGCAAAGTACGGTGATTGGAGGTATTTGTGGTACCGGGCACCTTACTGTATGGCACACCGTAGGAGCCCAGCGTTCTATTGGATCGCCAAACCGCGAGTCACGCGCTCGCTCATCTCCATCTCCATCTCCCCATCTCATCTCCATCTCCATCCGATGCTCATCCTTACTCTCGTCTCTCCAATGCCTAGCTCTTTGGCCGCCCAGAGCATACAAGGGTAGATCATGAATTCATGGGGGTAGACATCCTCCTTCGTGAAGAATTCTTGCTTTGTATGGTTCGGTTGTGGTGTTTTGGGGGAAGTCATCCCTTAAGCCCTTTTTACGCACTGGCGCCAAGAGTACCGGCTCGGCCGGTGTATGATACATAGTCTACGGTACCGGTATGTGATTGGTGAGAAGGTAAAACTACGAGTGATAAAAGTGCCATCGGCTTCCAGCGTGGTAACGGCTTCGCAATCGCAATCGTGCCCAAAGACGACGCCTGACCCCACCGAACCGAGCCCTTACTATGCTGTTAGGGGATTTCCCTTTTATGGGACAGGCCGATCTGGCTTCATAAACTATGAATTGTTTTCGATTGTGATGTGATTGCATGTCATTCTACCGTTTATTTGTTTTAAGGGGAGAGAAGTTTTCTTTTGTTTAAGGGGTTTCGTGGGCCGTGCTTTTGGGCATTTGCCACGATTTCTCCGGCAGCTTTAATGGTGCAAATAAAGTTGAGGACCTAGCAAATAATAATAATAATAATAATGCCACGTTTGTGCCGCAGTGACTAAATGCTTCCTTTCCACCACGAGTACCGGTATTCAAGTACTTGTACCGGTAACCTTGGCACCGGCTACCAGTATGGTGTGATTGTAGTCTTTGGGGGAAGCAGTATTTGCTCATGATCAAACCAAGGCACTATTTTCGGTCCCCTATTCCATACACTGGTATTTATCCTACCGGTAGTTAAATATCGCTAGGATATGCGATCTATGTTTCAATATGTCCTCATGTCTCGGCTGCTAGCAAAAGTGACAAGTGGAGACCACGTCCAATTGGTGGGAGGTACATGGGCATCACGGAGAAATCTCCCGCGATAGAAACAATCGGATGAATGTCGAATTCATGTTTTATTACCACCTACCCTATACAATACAGAGTGTGGAATGGCGACAACAAGAGCAGCCAAAGAAGGTGGTTGAGGGTACGGCACCCAATATACGACGTGGATCTCGGATGGTGCCATTTACATTCTTCTAATCTGAGTCTCGTTCGTGAAGGCATCCAAGTTGTCCAAGTTCGACCACCACTCGAAGAGCATCGTGTTGCAAATGAGCTTGAACCATGGTGTAAAGGAGAGCTTCTCATCCTTGAACATCTCCCGGAGCTCATCTGCACTGACATATTTGTAGGCTTGGACCTCGTTAGGGTTGATGTTTAGATCGACCTTTGCTTGTATGAAGAGGATATAGTCAACTGTGTAGAGGTTAGTAGGAATTATCGCTTAGCTAAAGATGGATTATATACTTTCGTGCTCCCCCCACAAACCATTACTTGGAGCCTTGTAGTGTATACGAGTTAGGAACTTGAACCAGTCCAATGGGACCTGACCTGAAGGAATTCCGAGCTCTTGGCCGAGCTTACGCTGGGCAGCGCGACGGACACCCTGGATAGCGGCCGAAAGATCAGCTCCGGTCTCGCCGGGAATACCCAATGGGTGAGAACAGCAGGTGTTGGTCCACATGGCTAGTTTGAGGTGTAAAGTAGGCAGGTTAGTCTATCAAGGCTTGAGGAGAGATGATTGAGGGTTTCTTACTAGGGAAGGTGATCTTCTCATCTGCACGCTGCTGCAAAAGGAGGCGGCCATCCTCTGGGTCGAACAAAAAGACAGAGAAAGCACGATGGAGGAGTCCGAGGTCGATGTTTTTCATCAAATGGCCTAAAGTAGTTTTGGTTAGCCCTTAGCTCTAGAAGCTTGAAAGCTAGGTCGAGTTTAAAACTCACAAACTTTCTTGGATGCACATCCAATTGGCTTGTCATCTTCATCCAACACAATGCAAACTTCCTCCATCAAACGAACTTGCTCCTCGTCGTAGCCTTGAAGTTCTCCAGAGCCCCCCCCGTTGGTGGCAGTATCAGCAAGGGATGAATCAATTTCAGGGAATAGGTGGAGAATATTTTCTGCAGTAATCGGTTGGGCGTGGCCCTGAGCGGCAGTGGTGGTGGTAGTCGTGGCAGACATTGATCCAGTGGTATCCTTAGTTTGGCATTCAGTATTATTTTTTTAATTTCTTTCCCCCTCCTTCTGTCTTTTCATCTCCTGCGGATGCAGGATGGCCGGTTGACGCAGGAAAGGATAATTACTTTACCTACACGGCTATGTAGCGGAACTTGAGCTTGGAGAAGGTAATGTAGTGTACGAGAATGGTAACCAGTGGTAGTGGTGGTGGTTGTGGTGGTGGTTGTGGTGGTAGAGGAGGAAGGGGCACGAAGGGTGGGAGGGATATCAATATGAATGGAGCTTTATCATCAGGGGGAGGACCAGGGAGGGACCTTAGACTAACTGCATGCCATTTTGTCTCTCCCCAACCTACTGTAGCTACCACCAAAGGAACTCTTTGCAGGCAGGAAGCACCCAGAAACAGGGATCCGCAAAAACAACTTGTACCGCATGGCAAAAAATCCGGTGCGTGTCCGAGCGCCCCATACTTGTACGAGTACCGTACCGTACTCGAGTACACATTCACGACCCCTGTTCTCGTGACTTTCGGCCTGCTGCGAGCACGGGACAGCAGGGAACGTTGGTCCACCGTCTTCTGCAGGGGTACGGTACCGATACGGTATCATACCGGGAACTCGAACTCAACGCTCGCGGTAACCCGCTTGCTTACATAACACATCCAAAATAGTGGGGTTTTGGTTAAAATGCCGTAACCATGAGAACGACCATCTTAAGGGGAATCCAAAAATTTACTATCTCCACGAATATTTCTCTCATTGAAAATCAGAAAACACAGGGCCAGAGAGGAGTGTGTCCCAGGAACTCCCACGGGGCCATGTCTCCCTAAAGATTTGATGGTGGTTGGAAATTTTCGAAAGCTATTATTGTGTTGGTTTCGGTTTGATGTGCCCGCCTCCCTCAGTTGGACCAAACAAACGCGTGCGGACCGATTGCTTGGTCCCCTGAGCGGATCACTTGACCGGCACTGAGACAAGCCAACCACAGAAGCCACAGAAACAAGAATGCAACAACGAGAAAGTGAGGCAGCTTGGAGTGATCAATGATACCAGTACCGTACTGTATAATACCGGCTTTTAAAGCTAGCTTTTTTAGGGGTGTGCCTCCAGGCTCGCTTGCTTGCTGCCTTATTTAACTTCACATCCATTAGCCGCACAGATAGATACCTGCAATGGGAGTCCGGCAAAAGGAGGCAGCACTCGAGTACCGGTACAGTACAGTACGGGTGTACCAGAGGGAGGAGAAAAGGGTCACCAATAAAGTGAAAATTTGCATCTGCAGTGGAGATGGAGAGGAGGAAGGTAAGGGAAGAAGAAAACGATTGCGAGATTTTCTTCCCTTCGGGGTGTTACCTGCATGCGCACTTTATCTTGCTCAGGCTAAGTTCTACCCCAAAAGGTCACGGACTGGTGTGCGGTGTTGATAAAGAGGTGCCCACCGCAGTAGTAGCAGGCAATACCGGTACGGCAGCTTTTACTCCCCACTCTGGTGGATGAGCGTTGAGCGTTGAACATCTCCCTCACCTTCCTACGAGTGTCGAAGGTCAGAAGGGTTGATGGCCCGAGGGTCCACTTGTGTGATAGCAATGGCGGATCACTGTCTGCGGTATCGGTATTAGATGTACCCGGGCTCAGGATATCCAGGCACCCGCCAATTTTTCGGCCGCAACCACGAGGCAAATGCAATCTTTGTGGACCCCAGCCACCATTCGAGATGACGTAGTACGGTATTTATTTTATTCTATCTTATTTTTACTTTTTTGCTGACCCTTAGAGAGGGGCCGTGATCTAACTTATCAAGTTGACTTCAACCGTCTATACGAAGGAAAAGAAAGGAAAGGAAAAGAAAGGAAAAAAGCCCCTCCTCCTCCCTCCTTCTCCTCCTCACCTCCTCTGTTGCAGGTCTTGCCCCCCCCCTCATCACCCCTCCCATCCATCCCATCACTCTATGAATCGCCGGCGAAACTATCCGTCCGACCTTTTCCATCCACCAAGCTGCTCCTACACCTACTTAAGAGCACATTCCCCCGCCTTCTCAACTCAGTGCACTCCAATTCCCGTATAGATAGTGTTCTCACTTCCATTCCTCTTCTAAAGCACTGCAATGGATCTCACTCACGCTTCCAAGAACACTGTTGCTCCCGCCACTGCTCCCGTGAAGAAGGTTACTCAGAGCAATGCTCCCGGCAGTACGCCCGCTGATGGCACTGGCATCGTCGAGATGGACCCATGGCTTGGCCCATTCAAGGACGACCTTCGCCGCCGCTTCTCTAAGGCTGCTGAATGGCTTCAGAAACTCAACAGCCACGAGGGTGGGCTGAAGGAATTCTCAAAAGTTGGTCAATTTCGCTCGAGCATGCTGGTTCCTTCATCCAATGCTGATAATGTGTTTGCTTGTTCTAGGGGTATGAGAAGTTTGGCATCAATGTTGCTCGCAATGGAACCATCACTTATCGCGAGTGGGCTCCAAATGCTGTAAATGCCAATTTTATCGGAGATTTCAGTAGGCTTGCCCTAGTCCCTAACCATATCTGGCTGCTTTCTCACCAATCTAGATGGCTGGAACAGGCAGTCTCATCCAATGAAAAAGAATGACTTCGGCGTTTGGGAAATAGCTCTCCCACCCGTCAACGGAAAGCCTGCTATTCCCCATAACACCAAAGTAAAGGCGAGTTACACCCCGAGTCCCCTTTCTTGCCTTTCACATATTCTGACCCTCTGCAGATCGACTTTCAACTCCCTTCGGGTGAGAGGGTAGACCGTCTTCCAGCGTGGATCAAGCGTGTCACCCAAGACCTGAGTGTTTCCTCCGTATATGACGCCGTCTTCTGGAATCCCGAGAAGAAATATGTTTTCAAACACCCTCGCCCCAAGAAGCCCAAGTCTGCTCGCGTTTATGAGGCGCATGTAGGCATCAGCACAACGGAATATAGAGTCGGAACTTATACGGAGTTTACCGCAAACGTCCTTCCTCGGATAAAGAAGCTTGGGTACAACGTAATCCAGCTTATGGCTATCCAAGAACACGCTTACTATGCTTCTTTCGGATATCAGGTCACTTCGTTCTTTGCTGCCTCTAGCCGATATGGAACCCCCGAGGAGCTTATGGAACTGATCGATACCGCTCACGGAATGGGGATCACTGTCCTTCTTGACATTGTCCACTCTCACGCATGCAAAAACGTCCTTGACGGAATTAACATGTACGACGGCAGCGACCACCTTTATTTCCACGAGGGATCACGGGGTAGGCACGAATTGTGGGATTCTAGACTCTTCAACTATGGGCATCACGAAGTATTACGTTTCCTCATCTCAAATCTGAGGTTTTATATGGAGGAGTATCAATTTGACGGCTTCCGGTTCGACGGTGTCACAAGTATCCTCTATACTCATCACGGAATTGGAACGTATGTTTAAGCCCAGTTATTTTGACCGATTCGCGCTGACGAGAGTAGGGGTTTTTCTGGTGGGTATCACGAGTACTTTGGGAGCAACGTCGACGAAGAAGGAGTAGTGTATCTCATGCTGGTATGAAACCAAAGTTGGCCCAGTCTTTGCCTCGCTTACCAAATATTTTGCAAGGCCAATGAAATGATCCACGAAAACTTTCCCGAGGCGATAACAATTGCAGAAGACGTATCTGGGATGCCCGGTCTGTGTGTTCCCCTTGCCCTTGGGGGTGTTGGCTTCGACTACCGCCTTGCGATGGCCATCCCAGACATGTGGATTAAGCTGCTGAAAGAAAAGAAGGACGATGACTGGGATATGTCCAACATCTGCTGGATTTTGACCAATAGACGACATGGCGAGAAGACTATTGCTTATGCTGAGAGTCACGATCAAGCGTATGTTGGCACACATGTATATCCCTTCCCACATTGCTTCTCTGGTGCTGATGATCACAGGTTGGTTGGAGACAAATCAATTCTCATGTGGCTCTGTGACAAGGAGCTCTACACTCACATGTCGACACTCACCGACTTTACCCCCATCATTGAACGCGGCCTTGCCCTCCACAAAATGATAAGACTCCTTACTCATGGATTGGGCGGTGAGGGTTATCTCAACTTTGAGGGTAATGAATTCGGCCACCCTGAATGGCTCGACTTCCCCCGTGTCGGTAACAATAATTCTTTCCACTATGCTAGACGGCAATGGAATATCCTCGATGACCCCCTCCTGAGATACAAATTTCTCAACGAATTTGATGCTTCCATGCAACATCTTGAACAACGTTATGGATGGCTCCATTCACCCCAAGCTCACATCAGCTTGAAGCATGAGGGTGATAAGGTTATTGTATTTGAGCGTGCAGGGTTGGTTTTCGTACTCAACTTCCATCCCACAGTAAGTTAAACCCCTCACGATATCTATACTACGATACCTATATTAGCGTATTCTAAACAATGGTCTATCCACTTACAGGAGAGTTTTGCGGGTTACCGGATCGGAGTCGAGCAAGCGGGAACATACCGCATCGTGTTGAACACTGACCGGAAGGAGTTGGGTGGGTTGGGCCGAATCGACGAGAGTGTTCGTTTCTTCACAACGGATCTCGGCTGGAACGGGCGGAAGAACTTCACACAAGTTTACATCCCCACAAGAACTGCTATTGTGAGCGCATCCAACCTTCTTTTTGGCTACTATTAGCTAATATTTTTCCAGGTGCTCGCTTTCGAGGACGCCTAGATTTTCATATTCATATTGTTATAGGGGTGGGGGGTAAAAAGATTTGTGGATTTTCGTCGTAATTACTATAATTTCGCGGCAAGGACCTCACTGCTAGGAAACTTGAATGTGAAAAAAAGCTCATGTAACCCTTTCCTTCAATACACGCATTCACACAATCAAGTTTATACCAAGCACCGGTAAAAGCAGGATCCTGGAGACAAATGCCAGTACCAATTGTAACATGCTCAAGGCTCTTGGACTCTTAATGGTGGGCATCTGTAGAATCCAATATTGGGCGAGAGCTCACGCATAGCTCCGAATTAAGCAAGCTTTGTTGCCACGGTCAAGGACGAGGCACAAGGATCGGCAACTACCGTTATCAAGGTATTGGGGCTCGGAATTGGCGCGTACTGCACGAGATTGAGCTTTTGAAGCCCGGATAATCACCAACAATTACTCCCGTACCGAAACGGGCTGCAGATATTGCTCTGCCTTGCATTCCTTTAGTTCAGAAAACTCTATATAAGTGCATGGGCTGGGAATGAAACTCCACGCTTTTCCCGCATACCATCCTCTGTGACACAAGAAAAGACCCACGCATGCTCCGTGCCAATGTGGTATCCAAGAACTCTCGAGTGACCCTCTGTGATCCTTCGGTAGATCGTGTCCGGACCTGAGATGAGAGGGGTCATGGGTACAAGTTTTGCTGCATCCAAAATCCGGCTGGTTCGCACATTGACAGCACTTTATCTATTCCCTCAGTATATGAATATAGCACACATGTTTCGTACTTACTTCTGCGCAGCTTAATTGGATAGCTCCTACATGAATTTGAATGAGGGCCGAAACGAAACAACTGCTCATTGAATCTCTGACATTCCCACAGACCGCCTCCCCGACATAACCCGATATCCAGGGGTCAGGATGAGGAAGCCACGTTTAAGTGATTGCTAAATCACATTTGAACGGTTAAAAGGGAATTGAGGAATCCAGATGCGGCGGAACGGGACTAGGTGTGATAGCCAGGAGCACTTGGTTCCGGGAAGTCAGGCCCTTTTAAATTTATATTCCCCCCGCCCCGAAATCCCGTCCGTGTCCAGAGAAAAGTGCGGGTGTGGTGGTCACTTAGTCAGCTTCAATGCCGAATGGGCGCCCTACATCGATGGCAGCCGCTTACGGTAAACTACCGGTTCTCGTGCTAGAAGCCACCTTGTGCGTTCCGGAGAGTAAATTCACACGAGGACTTGGGATTCAGGGCAATAAAAAACACATTCACTCCGGAGGGCAAGGAGAGATTATCACACGAGTATGGACCCTGTTGTCTTTACGAACAAGCGAGCTTTGTGGCTTCTGGCCGCCCTTGGCGTACTAGTAAGTCTGCACTACTTTCACCATGCTCGGGACAAGTATCATACCATACACTCTGGCTTCGGTGTACAGGCGGGGGAGAGAGGATGGGGAGGGAGCATGAGGCTTTCTCCTTGATATTCTGCTGCTGGTGGTGGTGGGTGAATCCACGGCCGAGAGAGAGAGAGAGAGAGAGAGAGCAACTCAACCCCTCCCCCACCATACCGTACTACTCTCTCCTCTCTCTCCCAACTTGATAGCGCCCGGTCTTGATGATCATCCCCGACCTTTTTTCCCTCCCTTCCTCCCCGTTGCTTCCACCGCACCCCCCCCCCTCTTGACAGCTCAGCAAACAAAAACTTCCTGCTCCCGCTGTGTTACTGACGCTTGTTTCCTGCAATCTAATCAACCCTCAACAAACTAGGCTACTCTATTCCTTAATTACCAGCCATATCAATTTTTTCCCTCTCGATCACCCCCCCGGCCAAAGATGTCCGCGAAAGAAGGCACTGTTCTGGTCACTGGGTGAGTTGGCCAATCGTGTGTGTTTGTTTTTACCGAGTGGACAGAGACCTGACTGAAATTTCTCGCGATATTAATAGCGGGACTGGTTACATTGGCTCTTTTACCACTTTAGAGCTTCTGGTTGCTGGTTATGAGGTTATTGTCATTGATAACCTCTACAACTCTTCGGAGGAGTCTCTTAACCGTATCGAGCGCATCTGTGGTAAACGTCCGATATTCTACAAGGCGGACGTAACCGACCAGGAAGCGCTCGACAAAATATTCAAAGATCACCCGGATATCGATTCTGTTATCCACTTTGCTGCCTTGAAGGTTTGTAACTCTCCTGCACGCGTGCCCTGTTCAGGGCCATATACCCGCGACAGCCCTACCCCCCACGATCACACACAATTCTGGGTGTGCGGCTGACAGGTGGAACCGCAGTCCGTTGGAGAGTCCACTGAGATTCCTGTTGAATACTACCGCGTCAATGTTGGAGGAACCATCTCTCTCCTACGCTCCATGGAAGCGAATGGCGTGAAGAACATCGTTTTTTCTTCTTCAGCCACCGTTTATGGTGACGCTACGAGATATCCAAATATGATCCCCATCCCGGAGACTTGCCCCATTGGTCCCACCAACCCCTACGGAAGAACCAAGATGATGATTGAGATGGGTATGTTTGTGTTCGCCCTCCATAAACTGGCTCCACAGCTCCCTTGCACCGCTGGTGGTTTGGCGCATTAGTACTGATTTAACCCCGTAGTTATCGAGGACCATGTCGAGTCGCATCCTGGTTGGAATGCTGCGCTTCTCAGATACTTTAACCCTGCTGGCGCCCATCCGTCAGGAATCATGGGGGAGGATCCTCAGGGCGTTCCCTACAACCTTCTACCTCTATTGGGGCAGGTTGCCGTCGGGCGCCGGGAGAGGCTTAAGGTCTTCGGGACAGGTGAGTCGATTCAGATGGGGTCGCTCTCAACTTAGATAGCTCACCCAACTAGATTATGCCTCCCACGATGGTACTGCGATACGCGACTACATACACGTCGTTGACCTTGCCAAGGGTCACATTGCAGCTCTGAACAAACTCCGAAAAGACAAGCCTGGATGCCGGGCGTGGAACCTTGGCACCGGAAAAGGGTCCACAGTCTTCGAAATGATTAAGGCCTTCTCGAAAGCTGTTGGCAGAGACCTCCCCTATGAGGTTGTCCCCCGAAGGAAGGGAGATGTTCTGGATCTTACGGCGGTCCCAACTAGAGCGAATGAGGAGCTCGGGTGGAAGGCTGAAATGACACTTGAGCAAGCTTGCGAGGATCTCTGGAAATGGTACTTCCTTTTCAGATTTGACCCCACCCGTTAATAGTGTTAACATATCTAATAGGGTGTCCAATAATCCACAAGGGTATCGACAAATTCCTCCACAGATGCTGCTGGACGCGCTAGCGAAGACAAGAAAGAAGCTGTCAGCGTAGATGAGCATAACTAGATGATCGATCAGTTTCGAGTTTTTTTTAATTTTTATTATTCTAGATGGGGGTTTTCACGATGGTTCTCTAGTATATTCGGCAAGGAGTTGAGCCAGTAGTCTGTAAACTAGGGTCTCATGCTTTGGAGTCTTCTTTCTCGCATTGGCGGAGCGGATTGGATTCATTGAGTACGCTTTCATTCCTACGTTGTAGTTATGAGTGAAGTCGAGTAAATAGAATTTCATTGCTTTTGGGTTGGGGGGGGGGGGCTTCTTCCGAACTTGATCAAGCGTCGTTCAAGCTCCAATGCACCACTCCATTTGCTCATACCCGGGTATGTTCCTCCAGAAACCTACGCCAGCACAGTAACTTTGTCTCGTCTTCAATTGAGAAGAGAGCGCGTTAGGTTATATTGTGTGGGCTATTGTTGGGGATCGCCATTGCGGTCCAACCAGTGCTAAAGCCAAGTTACTTCTATCAATTGCGCCCAAGGGGAAACGAGCAAACACCATATATCACTCGGGAACTTTGTGAATTGATATGACTGCTGACGAGAAAGAAGCTTGATTTTCTTACCACCTGCGCAGCTGTGGGCTTTTATGCTAACTGAACTATCAAGTGAAAGAAAATACCAAAAACCCGAGGTCGGTAATATGAGGACCTCGGAGGAAAGAATTCGACAAAACCTGAAGAAAAACATATGAGAACCTTGGAATACCATAGCTGAATATGGCATGGTTGTGTGGTTGTGAAACAAAGGGAGAAGAGATGAAGAAAAGCTCAAACAGTAACTAACATCGAAGAGAGTGGTGATCCCAAATTGGCTTATCGGCATCATGGGGTTTTGGAAAAACATTTTGGCCTTCTCAGTACTAAATGTCCAAGCAGTAGCACACTTGCTTGGTTTGGTGAGAAGGAATTTTCGTGGATGCCGTGGGTGGTATTGTGGGTGCCCTAGAAGAATAAAATTGGGCTCCAACTGGCATTATGCTTGTCCCGACAAGCGTTGCATACTTTGTCACTCGAGAGAAAGATTGCGTCGATCGGTCGTGGATGGGTGTTAGCGTTGACTTGCTGGTACTGTACGAGTGCAGTACCGTACGGTAGTCTACAGTACGAGTAAGGTACTCGAGGAAGGAGAGTGTTGCCTCGGCATGCGTCCACGTTCTCGGTTCGTATCAATGTTGAGTTGAAAATTCCCAACACAACAAGAAGGGCGGCCAGGCTCCCCTCAAGAAAAAGGTAGACCCTTCCCCCCGAAACTAAAAGATACCGACTTCGAGGCTGCTGCAGAATACCAACATCGTCATGTCCTCCAGCGAATTTATTACCAGAATCTCCTCCTTTATCGGTCCGATTGGGCTGTTCACTCTTGCTCTATTGGGTGCTGTTACTGTCCTCAACGTTTCACTCAAACTCTTCTGTGCTTTCTCGAGCCTGTTCATTCTTAGTGGGACAGATGTACGTTGCTTCCAGGACCCACGGAGGACTAGGTAGGGTACTGATTTAATTGCTATTATAGCTACGCAAATTCGGGCCGAAAGGGTCGTGGGCACTCATCACTGGCGCTTCGGATGGTATTGGAAAGGAATTCTCCCTGCAACTCGCCGCGAAGGGATTCAACGTCGTTCTCGTCTCACGCACCCGATCGAAACTCGCTACTCTAGCTCGGGAAGTCGAGTCAAAGTGCTCCGGTATCGAGACCAAAACTTTGGCCATGGACTTTGCTGAGAATGACTCGGCCGATTACGAGCGTTTGAGGGCTTTGGTGAAGGATCTGGACATCGCCATCCTGATCAACAACGTTGGGAAAAGCCACGATATCCCTGTCCCTTTCTTGGAAACGGCGGGGGGGGAGGATGGACGAGATCATCGCCATCAATGTTAATGGTACACTCAAAGTTACGAAAATCGTTGCTCCCGGCATGGCCTCTCGAAAGAGAGGGTTGATCTTGACCATGGGCTCTTTTGGTGGTTTACTTCCTACTCCCCTTTTGGCGACTTACTCCGGCTCGAAGGCTTTCTTGCAGCACTGGTCTACCGCTCTCGGCGCTGAACTCAAGAGTGATGGCGTGCAGGTTCAATTGGTTGTGGGTTACTTGATCACCTCTGCCATGAGCAAGGTTCGCAGACCCAGCATGATGATTCCTACGCCGAAGGGTTTTGTTAGTGCTACGCTTGGGAAGATTGGACTCAAGGGGACTGCTGCGGGTATGGAGGGCACCATTACACCGTACTGGAGCCACGGTTTGATGCATTGGGGTATTCAGGAGTTTCTCGGCACCTGGAATGGTCGGGTTTTGAGCAAGAACTTGGGTATGCATGCTAGTATCAGGAAGAGAGCCTTGAGGAAGAAGGAAAGAGAGGCTGCTCAGGGGAAGAAGGCCACCTAAGGGGTGGGATGCAATGCCAAAACAATGGTGGATAGACTATGGGCTGGATGGAGGGAGGGGCGAGGGATCTTATTTATGCTTGGTAGATTCTCGAGCGGTCCGTATGAATACCAAATCTTTGTGTCATGACCTGGTATTAGAGTTGGAGTATCTATACTTGTATAGTAACGGTAGCGTACCGTACTGTACCCATCGCACTACACAGCGGGGCTGAGACCTTGGGGAATGTTATGATTTGTATACTGTGTGTAGTGGTAAACGTAAATACCGTGGGCTACTTATACAGAAGGAGTGCCGCAGCCACTCGGGATGGGAGGAAGGAATTATGGAGGATGGTTGTAGAAGCTCCGAGGTAAGTTAATGAATGAGTGATGGCGGCAGATAGCGTAGCCCTTTATTACAACCTATGGTAATTAATTTAAGTTTGCAAGAGGCTGCTGCGGTAACGGGTAAGTTAATACTGTAACTTAGCAGTTTGTTGAGCCGCCAAACAAGGGGGATCGAGAAAGCGGTCGCGCCAAGAGTGCCGGTAGCTTCCCCGTGCTCAATGCTTCAACCTTGCACTACGATGTTGTTCGACTCTCCAGGAGTCCAGCGGATCCCAAAGTATCTTACTGCAATTTGTGTGAGCCACTCTCAGCGCAATCAATCGCGGCTTGAACGCTGTTAATTCGCGCCCAGAACGCCTGTCTCCCAGCCCACCACCGTGCCCTAAGGAACCTTCATCAAGCTTCCTCCTGACGGACGCGATCAGCAAGGCGATTCTTGGAAAAGCCCTTCCCAACCCTTACAACCACGCGACCTCCCTTTCCCCGACCACAAGCCGGCGCGAGGGAAAAGAGGGAAAGAACCTCGGATTAACCGTTGACCACGGCTCGGCGAGAAAAAGGAAAGCCTCATCTCCTCGTTCGTGTTGGGCTTTTTCCTTTCCTTTCAACACTGCGAAACGCGTGAGGGGCGAAATCATTCGAAAGAAAATGTCAATATTCGAGACACCCCCTTCTCAGCGCCAATACCATTCTTCAATATACTCTGCCCCGAACGTCGGCGGCGGCGGCCCATCCTCTTCACTGAACCCAGTATACCCCGACCTCCCCACAGAGCTACGGTCTTCCTCGAGGAATTCCTATACTGGCGGCTCTTCCTCGGCCTACCTCACAGATGGCCGGTCATTACAGCCCTTCGCTGTTGTGCCCTCTGGACCCGAGTCTGGCATTCCACAGACTCCGAAACCGGTCTCCTCGACTGATAATCTGGGGCCTGTGCCACGCGCTGCTAGGACCATTAATGAGTTTTTGACGACGGAGGCGAGGTATCCGCAGCTCGATGACATAGTTTCTCGTAGAACTCCCCCTCTCCCTCATATTTGGGGTATGCGCTAATGGTGGTTGGTATGGGGTGAACAGAGGGTCAATCATCCGATTATGACCTCCCACGCTCATCGGCATGGGAGCCATTCCAGAGAACCGCCCTGCACACTATCCCCGACTCGATCTTTGAGCAGTACAATCGCGCCACAAGTCATACGATGATGGGATTGTTTGCTGGGTTACAGCAGGCGTGGATCACGGTTGACAACCGTCTCTACCTGTGGGACTACACGACCCAGGGATCTTTCCAAGGCTACGAAGCCCAGCCAAACAATATTACCGCTGTCAGACTGTTGTCGCCCAAGCCAGGTGAGTTTTTCACTTCCTTTTCCTGGAAGCTTGAGCGCATTGGATTGTCGGGCCTTACATTCATGAATTAGGGGTGTTTGTCGACGACGTCAATTATGTCCTCGTTATTGCGACAACGGTCGATATCTTCTTGCTCGGTGTACAGGCGGTTCCGAACGCTAGGGGCGGGAGGGATGTTACACTTTTTGAGACTAAGATGAGCGTCCCGACTAAGGGGCTCGGCGTTAGTGTGATTGAGGGCTCTAAGAAGACAGGGCGGATATTCTTCGGTGGGAGGGGGGATAATGATATATATGAATTCACGTACCAGGTATGGCTGTTCACGGCTCTACAATTTGGGGGCCTATCTGCTGACGAAAGTGAAGGCGGAGGAGAAATGGTTTTATGGAAGGTGTGGGAAGATTTGCCAAACTAGTGGGGGTGTTTCATCATTTGCTCCCAGAATACCATTGCCCTTCTTGAGTGGGCCGAAGGATACGGAATATATTGTCCAGATGGTTATGGATGATACTAGGAATCTACTCTACACGCTTTCTTCAAAGTCGGCTATCAGGGCGTTCCACGTCAAGGGTGGGACCGCCTTCTCACTGAGCATCACACACTCATTTTCGCACACGCTTGCCAACATCCGGGTCATGATCGGGAACACACCGTTACTGGAACCTAAAACTCCCATTGTTTCGATCAGTCCCGTGACCTCCCAAGAAGCTCGCAGAACCCACTTGATTGCGACAACTACAACTGGGTGCAGGCTTTATATGAGCGCTGTGGCTTCGGAATACGGGTTTGGGGGATCGGAATCTGCACCGACAAGTATGCAGGTGATTCACGTTCGATTCCCCCCGTCAACGGGACCAACTTTGACGCCAACCCGAAGGGCAAAGGTGTTTGCACCCGGATACTTCTTTTGCTTCGTGGACAAGCCGGAGGCTGTGGATGAGCTCTTCCTCTCGGCACCCGATTCCGGGAGAATCGCGATATTGGCGGAAGGGACTTCAAGGGCTACACTTATTGAGACGGGGATGTCTGTGAACCTTGACTCAAGGGTTGAGGCTGTTGAGTTGATTTCAGTACCCTTTGCGGCTAGCAAGGGACCCAACGGGTTTGGGAACGAGCCAGCGGTTCAATACGATCTACCACCAACTGAAGTCGCTATCTTGACCAATTCTGGGGTTCACATCATCAAAAGAAGGCGGCTTATTGAGGTCTTCGATGCCGCTATCAGATATGGAATGACTAGTTCCCCGATCGGTGTGGAGGGCGAAGCTAGGAATTTCTTTGAAAAGTATGGGCGAGCGGAGGGGTGCGCTTCTTCATTGGCAGTCGCCTGTGGGGCGAGCACCGAGACCGTCAACCAGTCACAGGCTCGGACTACAGACGTGGAAGTTTCCGAGTTCGCAAGGAAGTTTTTCATTGACTATGGTGGTAGGCCGCGGGCTGAGAATGTCTATGATGCTTCGGCATTACCTAGTCTCGACAGCGTCAAGGTTTCAGGGAGAGCGGAGGGCCTTGCACTTTATATCTCTAGGATTGTTAGATCGATCTGGAAGGCTCAAATGGTTGTGGAAGTTCCTAGTGTTGTAGGTGTTGCGAGCTATCACAGCGGCGTTCCTGTTGAGAAACTACTGTCCATCCAGGAGCAACTCGTCAGGTTGTCGGCTTTCCTACAAAACAATCGCAGCTTCATCAATGGATTATCCGGAGCCGAGTCCCTGATGGGATTGGGTAGTAGGGTCGAGGAAGTTGCCCAGCAGGCTGAACATCGGATGTTGCATGCTCTTGTTACCTTAGTTGGTAACATGATCGAGGGTATATCGTTTGTGCTCTTTATGCTTGATGATAAGCTTGGGGATATCATACTTAGTCTTCCGGACAACCAAAAAGAGGAGGCCAAGAAGGTTACATATGCTGGCTTATTCACGAGTGATAGCGGGGCCGCTCTTGCGAAGGAGCTGGTCACAGCAATCGTCAACAGGAATATTGCGGCTGGACTGAACGTGGACACCATTGCGGATGCGCTACGGCGACGATGCGGAAGTTTCTGCAGCGCCGACGATGTCGTGGTTTTCAAGGCCATTGAGCAGGTTCGCAGAGCAAAGACAGATGGGGATCCGGACAACAGGAACAGGCTTTTGAGGGAGAGTTTGCGATTGTTCGAGGAGACTGCTGCGAGCTTGACAATGGAGAACCTCCGGGATACCTTAATAGAATACAGGAGCTTGAATTACTATCCGGGATCCGTACAGCTGGCTCTCACAGTCGCCAGGGAGAGTGACAGGGGTAATGAAGCTTTGGGATTCTTGGCTGATGGGGCAGCTCCGACGGTTGGTTTTCGTCCGGTATAATGTTTGTGTGTGATATGAACTGATCGAGTTGTGAACAGGACCCGAGAGCTCACTTCCACGCAAGGCGTGAGGAATGCTACCAGTTGGTGTTTGAGGTATTGGACGAGTTGGATTCGAAGTTTGGGCAAAGTCCGGAAATGCAGGATGGCATGCCGACTCCGGCTACCCGCTTGCGAAATGAAACCTGGCAGTTGATCTATACCTCCGATGACGAGGTCTTCCATAATACTCTTTATGATTGGCTTCACAGACGTGGACTGTCCGATAGGCTCCTCGAGGTTGACTCGCCATATGTCCTCGGATATCTCCAGCGACGGAGCTCGGAGTCCCTGGACCATTACGACCTATTGTGGCAGTATCATGCCCGCCGCGAGAACTTCTATGGGGCTGCCGAGGTTCTTCACAAGCTTGCCCAGAGTGACTTTGATTTGCCGCTTGAGAGGAGGCTAGAGTTTCTTAGCCGAGCAAAGGGTTTCTGCGGTAGTTACGGTCCAATGGGTATTAGACAGAAGATGAATGAGCTTAGTCATACCCTCCAGGAGGAATTAGACGTTGCGGTTATCCAGGACGATGTGCTCCGGCGGGTCAAGGAAGATGGCCGGATCAACTCTTCAAAGAAGGAAAAGTTGATCAAGGAGTTGGATTCGAACTTGCTTACTCTTAGTGATGTATGTTTTAATTCTACTTCATTTTGTTCAAACCACTGATTTCAATTTTTTATTCAGCTTTTCAATCGCTTTGCGGATCCTTATGGGTACATGGACATTTGTCTTGCCATCTTCCAGGGTGCAGATTATCGTGGGGCTGGTGAGATCAAGAAGTGTTGGGAACAACTCATCAGCTCAATCCACTCTGATGCAGAGGCTTCGGGCCAAGGCCATCCATACGAGCTTGTGGCCGACAACATTCGACGGTTGGGTCACAGGTTCAATAACTCCGAATATATTTTTCCTCCAAGTATGCCCTATCTTCATCCCCTAGCTTCCACAATGCAATTCTAATGAGTGGTACTAGATGACCTGGTCCAGCTCCTGGAAATTTACGCCTACGAACACCAGCGCGACGTTGGTGCCCCGACCTGGGTCGTGGACTGCCTCCTAGAAGCCGGCATCCCGGCCGAGACAGTGCTGAGGATTCTGGACGAAATGTACTGGCGCGATGAGGTGCCCTTCCAGGGTACTGTGCGCCGGAGGCTGGTCAGGGACGCGGCCTACGTCGCGGAGAAGTGGTTCACGCACTCCGTCCGGAGGGGCGGAGAAGCGCTTGGCAAGAAGGAATTTGTGAGGGGGGTGCTGGAAGGCTTGTCGAGGGTTACCTCGGACAATGATGACAGGCTGAGGATTATGGGGATTCTAGAGGAGATTAGACGCAGGATGGGGTAGTAGATTTGTTTCCCCATCCCCCCCCCCTCCTCTTTACTGAAGGATATTTTTTTAAAAAAAGTAATGATTTCTACCGCTCTCCCCCCCCCCCTTTTTTTTTTTAAAAAAAAAAGAGGAAACAAGAAAAGGGTGGCGGGAATGGATTGCTCTTTTAGTTTTTCTTACTTTTTTTCTTCTGTATTTTTGTTCGGGATTTTCTTCTTTCCTTTTCCTTTGCTGTGCCTTTTTCGTGGAGTACCGGTTGGTCTAATGCCGCCGTTATATCCTATCGTACTGTAACATTACTCAGCATACTGTGCCTAGTGTAGGAGTCGATCGACAGGTCGAAGGAGGGGTGAATGTTCCGTTGGATTCGAGGTATGATAGAGCAAAAAATAGCTTGGTACGGCACCGTTCTTTTCTTTGTGAGGTTGTGCGGTATTGTCATTACCAGGTTTCTTTCTTTATTTTTATTTTTTTCCAGCGTTTTTCTTGTTTTACGATATGATTTCACTTGTTAATTTGGGGGGGTGGGGGGGTGGCATGTGTATGGCACGGTACTGTAGTGTGGATGTTTTCGTTTTTTTAATACTGTGGTACCGTATGTACAGTACCGGTACAATGACTTACCGGTATTATGATTGATGTCTTGCTCGTTCCTTTTGCTTGGACCAGTCTGCTTTACGGTCCTGGCACAAAAATTGCATGAATTTAAGAACTATTAACTCACCCAGAAACAAGATAGAATTAATCAAAGCGGCATTATATGTTTTTATAATCCCTTAGCCTATTTCAGTAGAGACTGTGGGATTTGATTTTTCAGAATGAGTCCCGTGTGATTTGGAGAAAGTTTATCTATATTTTTTTTTATATCAAAGCAATCAAGGTGATATTTCCGGATGTAAAGTTGTCATTTTTGGTGTAAAATGCCGATTTACACACATGACTTTTGGTGCTAGGCCTGTACAGTACTTAGGTACAAGTACTGTACGTGGGGAGTTGGGCTGGGTGAGTCGAGTTGGTTAACCTATCGTGGTGGTGTGGAGACCTCTTTCAGCTTGGGCCTACAGTCGGCCTCACTTGTACAAAGTATGAGTGAGGCATCGTGCTTGAACTGGCTGGAGATAGAGGAGCACTGTACTGACTGTATCATACCGGTATCGCTACAAGTTATCATACCGGTAGTCGGACATCATTTTAAAACAACGATCGGATCCTTTACCCGTAGTCAGCAGGGCCATGCCGGTATTCCTTCCGGCTCGGTCGTGATGTTACCATCCCCACCGGGCTGCGCTCATGTTGCTGTATCCAGCGTTGACACCCCGCCAGCCGTGATTACCCCCGTCGCTGCACTGTCCAGTACGGTACTCGAGCACAGTCCAATATCAAGCTGATCGGTGTTTGCTCTACTTGCCGAACGCCATAAGCAAGTAACCATGGCAAATGTACAATTCGATATCCCGACAATCGATGAGGAGCTCGTCCTGGACACAGAGGTGTATACTCCCATTACTACCCCACCCGGCAAAGCTAATAGTCCATAAGCAAGTATCAAGCAATTCCCTCAACCGCGCTGGGGAAGAAACCGACGACCATGTCCTCCAGGTACCTTCCCTTTCCTTCCTCCATCCTCCTCCAACTAACAAAGAGAGAAAAAACGAAGATAACATTCGACCCCCATGTCCAGGCCGCCCGCCGCCGCAAATCCTCCATCGTGTCCATCGATGAGATGGGGAATCCCTCGCTCCCCAAATTTCTTAATAACCATGACAACAGCGGCGATGACAAGGGTATGGGTGCTGGTACGAAGAGCAGTTGTTTCGTGCACGCCTTGTTGGAGATGCGGAACCAGTGTGCTTCGGTTGGGGGTGGGAACGGGAGTGGTAGGGAGGTGGAGGGGAAGGGGGAAGAGAGGATTGTCGCAGCACATAGGAGTCCGCCATTTATGACTAAGAATGAACTGTCGGATATGGTATTGGGGGTTAGGGAGTTGAGTAAGCACTTAGGTGAGTAGAGTACTGGTATGATCGCGTATTTATTACATTGGAGGGGGGCTAATAGGGGAAATGGGTAGCGAGTATTCAGATTAAGATGAAAGTCCGGGCTATTATGATCTTGACGAAGACTTATGATAAAGCGCTGATCGGGTATACGAGGAGGCTTGTGGAATGGTTGTTAGACGGGGAGAGGGGGAGCAAGCACACTGTGTTTGTACTCCTTGGGTTGCTCGTGAGTTGTTGGTGTGGCTGCTGATGGTCCCCGGGGTAGATACATTGAGGACGTCCTCAAAGACGCACCAGAATTCGATGTGGAGGGGCTCGTACAAAAGTGTCCCGGGTATAAATCCAGGCTGCATTACTGGACTACGGAGTTATGTGCTAAGCGGCCGCATACCTTTGATTTTGTTATCACTGTGAGTTCTTCGCCCTCCCTCCTCTGTAGTTGTGTGTGTGAATCTGTCTGATAGGAGTTCTAGCTTGGCGGTGATGGCACTGTCCTTTACGCGAGCTGGCTGTTCCAGAAGGTAGTCCCACCGGTGTTCTCCTTCGCCCTGGGGTCCCTGGGGTTCTTGACAAAGTTTGATTTCTCTGCATTCGAGGAGACACTATCTACTGCCATACGGGATGGCGTGACTGTGGGGCTGCGGCTGCGCTTTGAGGGTAAGTAATGCCATGGATTGTTATTCGGCTGGTGAGCCTTTGCTAACGTACCTGCCTCCCCCGCTCTTTTTCGGCAAATCATAGGCACCATCATGCGTAGGATAAAAAATAACGAAGACCTTGACAGAGGTGCAGACATTGCCAATGAGATATTCTCCGGAGCGGTGCTCCGCCCGCCGACGCATACTGCCGGGGAATCGTTTATTGTATTGAATGAGATTGTGGTGGATCGGGGGCCAAACGCTAGTGGGTTCCTTTCCCTTTCCTCTTTGCCTTAGTGATCTAGGTTTGGGGGGTTAATTGTGGTGCGCTAATAATGGGGGGAAGCTATGTCCTCGACGGAGCTGTATGGGGATGATATGCACTTGACGACCATTCAGGCGGATGGCGTGTGTATTGCGACGCCGACGGGGTCGACGGCGTATAACCTTGCCGCCGGAGGTTCGCTCTGTCACCCGGAGATTCCGGCAATTTTGGTGTGTTCTGCGTGCGAGTATCAAGAAGCCTACGATCTGACGAATCTAGATCTCTCCCATTTGCGCCCATACTCTTACCTTCCGCCCTTTAATACTCCCGGACTCGATGGTTGTCCGCGTGGCCGTCCCGTGGGATGCACGGACTACTGCTTGGGTATCATTTGATGGGCGACAGAGGATAGAATTGAACCGTAAGTTGAGCCATATGTTTTGACTGTGTACTAGCATTAATTCCTAAGCAGAGGGTGATTACGTAATGATATCGGCATCCCGATTCCCATTCCCAGCGGTACAGAGCAAGCCCGATAACAAAGACTGGTTCGACTCGATTCGGCGAACGATGAATTGGGGGTCCAGACCGAGACAACAAGCGTTTTCTTGAATTCACTACTTTAGGACGACAGCTTGATGTTTTTATTTCATTTGGTTTTGGCTGTTATGCGGCGCTTGGGATATGTCGGTCTGGGTGTATGCCGGATTTTTTCCTCAATTTTATATATCGCTGGTGACGACCGAGATTACTGATATCGAGTCTTTTTATTGTTTGCGAGGGGTTCCTAAGTTATTGTGATTGCTACCCGTATACGGAATACGGTTTCTCCACCAATCTGAAGAACCGTCGCAATTGTCCTTCGATACTTCCTGGCAATTTATGAAGTATTCGGATGCTATAGCGTCAGGGCAGGTACTGATTTGAGAGAGGGTGTCCGGATACTTTATAGCCGGTCGAGAACAGTACTATTTTCCGCCAAAATTTCCAGCCTCCTTCGATAGACATCGTGATGTTCTTTCAAGAGCGTTTGGTCCCCTATGGAGCTGTTACGAGTACCGTCTGCCTGCTCGGGCGCAAAGCCAGTGTCTCTTCGCTCCCTTCGAGCGATAGGCCAACTAGCCTCCATCCAACGATATTCCTTGTGGTTGGCAATTGCTTCGAGCATTCACGAGGTCTCGCCCTTCCTTCCTTCATTCCCCAATCTTGCTTTATGATATGATACCTTCCACATCCGTTCCAGCAATCCATCTCCTACCGTCCCCTTTACCCTAACTTAACCCCTTTTAATCTCCTTTCTTATCATGTAGTATACCCCGACCAACTGAAAAACGATGGGCACACAAACCACCGAAACCTTGTCGAACCCTAGAGGCCAGGCATCTGAATGGTTCATTTTTCAATTGCTCCACGAGACCTTTTTCCCCGACGCATTCGAATTGGCGTTGAAAAGTTTGTTTTTGGTAGATGCTGCTGCATCACGGGGCGCCCCGCTACTTGACGCCCTGGATGGATCTGAGGGTGTTCTCATGAAGGTGGATGGAGGGCACGAAAGAATGAAGCAACACAAGTGCGATAATGATAGACTCAATACGCAATAGGGTGAGGAAGGATGGTGAGAGAATGGGTGATCGATGGTCGGCGGTCATCCTCTGCCCCCTGCCAGCCAAGGACAGAATAGGAGAGATATATCGCCAAGCCACCAACAACTCTGGAACCCAAAGGAAACACCACGAACACAAAAGGACCGCACCGTCCTGACAGACCATGGCCCTCCGTGCTCCTCAACAATCCAGAACTCTCATGAGCCAAGAAAGGATATCCTCGGTCCGCCAGTAGGGACCCGAAGGGAATTTTTCGGAAGGCGCCGGTCTTTGGGCTTACCTGAAGGTGTGGTTAAGCACCAATGCCAAGGGTTTACTGCTCCGCTGTCACCTAACCCGCCTCCCGTCATCTCTACCGGCACTAGGATTTCATACGGCTGGCTTAGTGCCAAACCTCGTAACATGCTCGTGAGCCGGATGCGTCAATCCAGGGTTTTTGCCCGGGGTGAATCCAGGATATGCCTTTCTGCCAGCTTTAACATCTCTCCCAGGTAATAGGACTTTCAGCAGCTTTTACAGCTATCATGGTGAACTTTTTGTTCATAATATGGGTGGTCTGGAATCTAGGGTTCTGGAGATTATTTGGGGCTCCCGCCGCACTATGATCTCAACGATGCTCAAGAGCGTTAGACTCAATAGGACAATTGCTTATATGGAGCTTTCATCACATCAATCCATCTGACCTACAACAACAACGCAACAACAACTCTGCACTTTTACGAGACTCTCCGGATTCTACATTGAAGGATTCTTGGATCAGATCACTGGATAAACCATCACTGGAATCTCCCACAGCTATCACTAATCGCCAACTCACCGAGGCTGCTGGATCATACGTCATGTCATCTATCATGAAGTTTTCCTCTGATGTCAGTATAGGGAGATGCCGGGTGGCTGCGGGCCCCAGTGCGCCCCGGGGAAGAGGGCTCAGGATATACGAGCCATCGCGCTTGCAAGGCCTATCTCATAGTATGATATTACAACCAGTTTGCCTTCATTCTTAACTAACGTCCGCAGATAACTCTACACGTGAAGACATCGTCATGTTTTTCCAACAGTTCCCAGGAGGAATTGTCCGGCGTGGGGACTTCCACAAGTACTATCCAAAACACGATGGTCTCTCCAACAGCAAGCGGATGCGGAAATTTGAAGCCTTGTGGAAGTCCTGCACAATATGGCTTCCTCAATATGGGGCTTACATCTTGAATCCTTCATGCCTTCCTGGAAAGGGCGCTAGTATGTTTATCCCCCCCCCCCTCATCTTAACGGGCATTCCTTATGACGTGACTAACCTGGGTGCACAGCATTGTCTAGTGTATGCACAAACGCAGACGATATCCTCAGGTAAGTTCGTGAAACCCATGGGGAAGGTTACTCTTGAATGGATATACCGTTAGTTGCAATGAAATAATTAGAGCCCGATGTTGAAATTCTCTGAAATAGAGCTTGCTCGGACGAATGCTGGATAACGGTACTCGGTACTCGGAAAGCTTATCAGTTGATTTACTCCTTTCTTTCAGACAGTTTATTTGATTTTCTCGCGAGATATCACTACTTTTTTATGTTGTTTCGACGTGGGGTTATGGAGAGTTCCAACTGTTGAACGCGCTGGAGGATTCCATTTCCTAATTCTGCCTTCTTGCTTACTTATGTGGCCGGGTTGAAGTCCCCCCCTTTTTTTTACAGGGTGCGTTACCTCCAAAATGGGAGCGACTTCGATGCGGCCACATGAGTATGCTTATTCTATTATCTGTTTTTCTTATGCCGGGAGGCTAACTAAGACTCGCTAGTTCTCTTGACTCGTAACAACTCATGTTGGCGTTGGAGGATTGGCATAGCGTCTAGGGGCAAAACCACATAGCGGATCCTCGCCCTTGCTCGGAGATTGGTCGGGAGGGAAGCCCTTGGTTGTGGAGGGGCCCTAAGAAGATGGGCTGTCGTGGGGGGAAGGGGGGGAACCCATTTATTTTCAAAGGGAATGGGATATTTTCCGGCCGATTTGGGCGTGTTTACGAACTGTTGTTGTGGGCGAAGTACTTATTCACCGGCTTTAAGAAAAGATTGTCTATTTAATCCTGTACCTAGTGTTTCTCTTGCCGTAGACTTAACATATTGAGGACTATTGCATAACGGCTGCCATGTGAGGTCAAGATAAGAAATCACGCCCAGTTAGTCCGGCTGAGGGGGCGCTGTAGAGTGGCAGCCGAGGTCGTTTTGTCAGACGGCAGGGGGGGGGGGGGTCACCGATTAGAATACTTGCCCGCTAGTATATAATATTTTTATTTCAATTTTGGTTTTTCCGGGTTTGGGAAATATCTTTTTTCTTCCCGGATGTCAATCTCCACAATCCACTCTAGCACGCTGTACCTCTGACATGCTTTTTCATCTCCAATAATGTTTCCCTGTACTACCCCCCAATTCTTTCTTCGAACAGCCAGGCATGGATCATTGATTCTTTGTGCAATGGCCACGGTACTGTAATCGAGTACTGTACTTGTACTGCACCCACCAAGACACCAGACGTTTGCGCTTGTACGGAGAAAGATATGGTGAGACTCTCCGCATTGCGGCGAAACCCAACATAATTACCCAGGTGGGAGGGGTTGCTCACAGATTTAGTGTGACAGAATACTGAAATGAACAATATCATTATTAATTGGGACGAGATAAATTTTATATATGGGTGTGTTTATGCAAAAAGGTCGAAGATTGCCAACAACCACAAAATAAGTTTAATGGCTCTATAGATTTAGCAGAAGCTAGAGTACCCCCTGGACTTCTTGAAATATATTTAATTTTAAAATTGAGGCAATATTGGACCTGTAATGACTATTTTGAAATTTAGGGTTAAAATCTTTTTTTACATAGAATTAAAGTCAATCTTTGAATGTACCTATATGTGAAATTTCAAATATTTTCAAGAGTAGCATCTGTGGTTATTATAAAGCTTATCAAAATGTCATTACTTTCCTGAAAATTAACAGACATTATAAACCTGTATGAAGAAGATTAAATGCAACAAAAGTTGAAGTAAGTGTCTAGGAGTAAAGACTAAGCTCCATATTAGTTTTGCTTACTCAGTCTTATAACCTTTCTTTAATATATAATATTAATAGATAATCTTAATTTGATTCTATTAAGTTTATGTAAAAGAAAAACTTTTTATATAGAATTAAAGCCCCAACTTAAGTGATTCTTATTTCGTATTTTGATATTATTTACTCCATGGGTGGTGGGACTATTTTAATTTCTTTGTCAAAAAATGTTTTTCTCTTTTTCTCAAATGTGTCCTGGTTGCTATGCAAACTAAAACTGCTCATAACTCAAAACTCCTAAAAAGTGATCTTACTCCTCTGCACCCATATGAATTTTATATTTTATATTTTTTCCAAAGTCGAGTTTCGGGGCGTCCACGAAGGGCAATACCGGTAAGTGATAAGGTTTGTGTCGTGCGGTACTGGTGGGGTGATTGTTGCTGCTCAAAAATGTAGGCTATGATGTTGGTGGTGTTGTGTAGGGATTTCCAGGTAGACTTGCCAGGCCGAGTGATAGGATGTGATTGCTTGTATGTACGAGTACTGTACGTCTGGTGGTATGGCATTATAAATTGTGATGTTTTGCTGGGGGGGGGGGGGTATGAGACGGGTAACTTATGGTGCAACGTCTTTGAGAGGTGATGCGGTTTCCTTGGGACTTCTAGCCTTGATTACCTACGCTGTTGAGATTCTGTTTGTGCCGTGTGCGGGGAAGGGGGGGGGGGTGGTTTTACGATACTCGAGTACTGATGCTGTGGCCGGTAATCGGAACGGTTGATGTATCAGTAGCAAGCATAGTATATCACTCGGCAAAGCCACTAAAGTGAGTGTTGGAAATATCGTATGTGAGGTGAGCGATAGAACCAGGATTTTTGGCTATAGTCTCTTGTTCATTGCTACTTGGGTACCACACAGCAGTACTCATACCTGTGCAAGGTATCTATATACAGAGACGATGATAACATAGGCGGGGGGTCAACGAACAGACCAAACAAAACCACCATTCGCCAAGACGATTTTAGTGTATTGTTCGCTGAACCCCCCTGTTCGTTGAACCCCCGTCCCTTTTATGTGTCCTCAGTATGCCTTGTTGGGCATAGTTCCGTCACATTGAAGTCATTCTTTCAACAGTGAGAGAGTACTGATTATTAAAGTAGCGGACGGAAATTGCCGCGAAATCAATTAGACGTTAAATCCAGGTATGATACTGTACACTATTCATCGAGTTTTCGCCACCCAGCGAGCGAGTGCTATGTTACATGATGGCCGCCACCCACTTCGACTTGGAAATTTCTTAGTTTCCAATATGCCCCACACCAGAGTTCGACTTGACGTTAGACTTCACGCCGCTGACTGCCGCGGCGGCCTGTACGTCCTTTCCGGAAAATTTGGTCAGGAAGCTGGACGTTGTGTACGCTTTCCAGAGGCCGCTGCCAGAGACGGTGTTCTGAACGCACGCCCGACCCAGGGAGGCTGTGCAGGTGTTCGAGTCGCTGGAGGCGTATGCGTTGAAGATTCGGCCGCCGGCGGATACGGATGTGGTTGTGATTGTTGTGGTTACGGATTCGAAGACGTTTCCTTCTATGAGGGCCATGCCGCCTGTTCCTAGGTCGAATGCGTGACCACCTAAGGGTTGGGTTAGTGGTGTTTTTCTCTTTACAAACTAGAGGAGGGAGAGAGGAAGGATGGGTACCTATTGAATTGAAGTAGTTGTTGACGGCGTGGATTAAGACGTTTGCGGAGCCTTCACCACCGATCTGTGGAGGGTTAGCTGCGTTGTTTTTTCACCTTCTTGAAGTGTGGGAGTTGGATGATGTTATATAATACTTTTGGAGCGCGGCCGGAGCAGTCGTGGATGTAGTTGCCGGCCAAGGTGATCAAGTCGCTGGACCCCAGGAAGAGCATGGTCCAGTAGTGGTCACCGTTGCAGGTGGCGGACCAACTGGTTTTTCCGTCGAATTCGTTGTTAGAGATGGTGACTCTACCAGCTTTGGCGTAACCGGTGACAACCATCTGACGACCGATGAGAGAGAACTGAGGGTGTTAGCTCCTATTCAAGAAATTTGGGGATGAGAGGGTATGCCTTGCAGTGATCGATCCTGTGCCATCGTTAGTCAGGATTCGGTCGGTTGTGCGGGGATAAATGGGGCCTTACCAGACCAAATCGGAGCCAGCGAGAGTGATAGCATCACCTCCCCAGATGTATTGAGGGTTCAGTTCCTGAAGGGAGTTAATTGCTATTTCGATCCATAGAGGGTAGTTCTTGGCGCCTTACAGTAATGTGGACGTTCTGGATTATAATGTTCGAAGCTCCGTTAGCAATTCGGAGGCCTAGGGAAATTAGCGGCAGAAGGCGAGATCCAGCTTGGAAACATACCAATCCCTCTAATCACACCTGAAGATCCCTTTCCAACAATACTCCTATAAACCAATTAGTCATGGGTTCGCCAATTATGCAATAAAGGTGACTCACTTGTTGCTCTTGACATCAATAAAGGTGGTTCCAGCCTTGTCGTATGTCACAGCAATATCTGGATGCCCGTACCTTGTGCACTATAAATCATATCAGTTTCTGCCCTTAACAGGCAGGCCATATCGGAAGGAGAGGGGTGGGGGGGGAAGAAAAAAAAAGCAAACACACCCAATCGGCTCCGTTAATGGCATCTTGCCCACCAGAGTCAGGGCAAGTGTTACTTGATGGACGACAACCTGTACTTTGGTTAATATCATCCTGAAAGCAAACAGTGCTGCGACAACATACCAGTTGCAGTCACTGTCCCCTGGGAACCAATAAAGTTATACTCCTTCTTCAACATGATGACACGAGGAGTGGAATCAGTGAGCCATGACCGTAACCTACTCTATTAGCACCCACTCATCCCTCTATAGTGAGAACGAACCAAACTCACTCTTTAATGTCGGCGGGGTAAGCCGGCGTGGCACTACCACCACCGGTCACGCCTTTTGCAAAACCAGTTGCTGCTCCGACAACCTGCGCAAGAGAGGTCGAAGAGAGTAGGAGGATGTTGAACAATACGAGTCGGAAAGCCATGTCGGGTTCTGTGCCGGTCGATTGATCTAAGGGAAAGTTGAACCAGAGTCTGGTGGCCTATAGAAACAATTGGAAGAGGGGGGGGGTATTTCATATGTTTATATAGCTATTTATCTTTCTCTTTTCCCCCCATATCATCTGATACCCCTCCGGAGTTGGTTGGAACCGAATTGGTTAGTTAGACGTAGAGAGTGCTAACTAACTTGTAAGAGGTAGTGATATAGCTTTGAGATGGCTGTTTAAGGTAGTGCAACCCACGCTCCGTCCAGGCCCGAGTGTCCACACTCTTAGCTAGAGCTCACCTTGCAGTACCTCATACGCTGCCCGCTGGGTAAACTAGATATAGCATTCCGGGAGGACGTAACTGGCTCCTGGACACGATTGGATTCAGCTCCTCATGGGTATACCCCCTGCGGCATTTGTCGAAAATTGTGCACGGGCATCCAACCCTCCCAAGCTGGAGAGAGGCCAACGGGAAGCCATGCCATAGATAGAGTCTAGATGGAAGGTTCATTGATATAATTGTGCCCATTGGATCGGTAGTCAAAACCGGGAGTCTTGATGCAAGTATAAGTTCCTCCTTATTTTTCGGACCCTGGGATCGGGTTCTCTTACAAGCTAATTTGACTCTCGGTTAACGAGTTTCACCTGGTAGGCGATTATAGGCTAACTAACCCAAAAGATTATATATACAGGAACCACAATGCCGGACCAGCCCGCCCAAGACTTTACAGGCATATAAATTATCATCCTTACTATCTGTTTAAGACAATCCCCCCCCACCCACCCCTTACGAGTTTTCCTCCTTATCAGGGTATCGACTCGAGGTAGAATTGGTAAGAATCTCGAATATTCGAGCTACATGTATTATTGATACACCACTGTCCTCACACGGAAATCCTTTTTCCAATTCACCCTGCTCATTGCCATGAAATTTCCATCTTTGACAAAGCGGTGACCTGTTCTAAAGGCCTAGAAGTATCCAAAAACCTAACGATAGACTTTCTATAAACATATATACTTTCCAATTTGGAACATCAGGAATAGGTGTTCCTGAATTAGTTGCTTTTTATTTTAGTGGGGCTGACCGCCTACTAAATTTACGAGTACTCGAGTAGCGCACTAGTACTAAGAATGACACCAGGATGTCCAGAGTTTCCCTCTTGGATTGTAGGTGGTAGAGAAGGTACGGCGAAAAGCATCCCCCTCAACTCTTGGTCGGGACGGGCGGGGGGAAGATAACCATATCATACACCTTAATATTAGTACGAGCACTCGCACTAGTAGAGGCAACCCCAACGCCCTCGCGAGATTCTCAACTAACTTGTTCTAGTTTTTTTTTTACCCAAGGTAACACACGTTACCCCTGGGATCAAATTAAGGGTTGCGGCAGGCCAGGACCATCCTGGAAGAAAAATAAAACGGTAAAAGTCTTCAATGCCACAGCCTTGGCGTGAAAATATCTACAATGCCACAATACCTTAGACTAGTTCAGTCTCTAATTTTTACGCCCCCCCCCCTGCAACTGTTTACATGAGTACTCGCACACACACCCCTAAACACAGGCCGTCCATCCATGGGCAGTTTGGAACCTTGCAGATATAGATTCCTCGTGTTGAATCTCACTTGGAAACTTGGTAGCTGAACTTTTCACCACCAGACCAGTCACGCAAAACCCCTGCGACTCCACCGAAGGAAGAGAAACGTTGCCCCAAGGCCGGAGTTAGATGGAGATCAGATAAGGCCGCCACCATAGGATCAGGGGAGGAAAACATCCGCAAAAACTCAGGAAGGAAAGAAAGTGATGAGTTGTGTCATGGTGAAAAATTTTCATTACCGGTAATACTAGTCTAACACGTTGTGGCATTGTAGATATTTTCACGCCGGGGTTGTGGCATTCAAGACTTTTACCGAAAATAAAAAGATCCGGACCTTCGGGCCATTTGCCGGTAGGAACTCCCGTATAGTTGAGAGCTAAGGTCCCAGCTTATATTCCATTGGCTATTACGAACCGTTAGTGTCTCGTCCAAGTATCGACGGTCCCGCTATCACCCCCCCTCCCCCCCCCCCGTAGGATAGACCACTCGCTCTTTGAGCACAGTACCGGTAGGAAAAAGCAGCAGAAGCCTTTTGCCTTTTTTCTCTACCACTTGTATCACGGAGTAACGACGTGCCCAACATGACCTTGGATGCTTTGTGATCCACCAATTCTGTCAACAGAAACTGTCCCTAAGTGGCCGGGTGTGCTGTGAACACCCCTCTTTTGCCTCTTCTCGTTCTCGTTTGGTACAGGGCACAGGATGCTCCGCATTAGCTTTGGAACTACTCTTGTACTACACATTGCCCCCACGTCACAAGCCTCAGTTGGGCATCTTGACGAAGGGTAGGCTCGGGTGTCTGTCACGATACCTGCACTAGTATAGTGTTAGGAGATATAACGCATCCAAAGCCTGAGGTTCCGAGATGCTGTGCTAAGCCATATGCGATACTAGACACTTTCCGAACGAAAACCCACCTGGGACCATTGAATCACGAATCTGGAAGGAGCAAAGCACCCTAGAGTACAAGTATGATACTCGCACTGCTACCTCGATCAATCTCCAGGTTCGGGGCTGTCAGCACAGGGCATAGAGTGGAGTAACAGTATCATACGTATCTTTCCTCCCTTCTGCCAGTCTGGAGGCAACCCCCACATAGGGGTATACCCATACATACCGCGCTGGTCCGTATTGACCAGAAAACCTAGCCTTACTTTATCGGGCTATCGTTTCGCTTAAAGGAAATATAAAATCCTCACATGGTGTTCAACTCCGAGGATCCATGATTAGGATTTATGGCTCGCCCGTTATACTATACCATTGGGATTCTGAGCATCATCGTGCTTGTGTTCTCTGGCGGGATAGCGCCGGGGGTCTTCCTTAACCGGGAAGGAGAGAGACCAGGGCCCCATCCGCACAGTCGGGTGCTTAACTCGATTTAACTGGGTACGATATTGGACATCTGATGAGAGAACTGCCTAGTGTCTATAGGGAACGCTGGATATGATCAGGTGCCAATTGACAGAGCTGTCCTGAACCGCAGGCCTCCGGAGCTAGGTTAGTCAATAGCCGGCCATTCCACGGGATATTCTAAACTAGCTGGTGGTGTCTGATACTTCAGACCCCAGGTACCGAATTGAACTACACCCAGTAACTTTTCGGGGCGGGCCGACCTCACTTGCCTCTCACGGCATTTCATATCTGCGTGGCGCGACATGTTACAAAGACCTAGGTAATACCCACCATATTTCAAATTCCTTCGGGGAGGGATGATAGGGGTGTCCCAGAAATTGCCACCTACTATAAGCTCGAAGGTAGAGCTACCCATAGGTCTGTCACGACGGGTTTGAATGAGACAAAAGGGGCAGCGTTTTTTCTCTCCACACATCCCTTCCGGTCTTCGGTGCTATAGGGGCCAGTTGCGTGGCATATAGGCCGCCTATACTAGGATGCGATACCAAAGTATCGGGAGGAAGTCACATGATATCATTCCTGATTGTCCAGAATAAGTGCCAGTTGTTGGATGTGGATGTGGTTGATGGAGAAAAGACTTGATCGTCTCCAGCAATGCCAGAGATAGAGGCTATATACACACAAAGCCTCCTCTCTTGGTCCACTCCAACCCTACAACGCAATCCTATACCGATCAGGATAGCCACCAGTACATACTGCCAACACCAGTAAATGAGGGAGAGGTTGATATTCCGATCAAACTGTGCCTAAGTAATAGTGTTTCCTAAGATGCACCAAGCGCCAATGCAGGAACTAGCTCTCCAATACCTATGAAAGGCCTCTACATCTGTGCTGTGCCGATATCACGGTAGCGTACAAGTAATAGCAGTGATGCTGTATGATTTACTAGAGTAACCATACAGGATGCAAGGGTGAAATGACTAGTAACTTGAACTAACTAGGCTTATATAGTTCTAAGATAATAATATACTGTAGTGATTTATATCATGAGGAGTAGACTACTTGTAGTATTAGTAGAAACTCTAGTAACATCTTCACAAGACAAACTTGTAAGGGGGTGATCTCCAAGTAATTGTGGTAACTCTACTGTGTTAGGATGTGTCCTTATGCAGCATCAAGCCACTATAATAACCCCAGTTAAAGTTTTGAGTAAGAACTCCATTTTAATGCAGAGCATCATGTCTTGTCAGTGGAATATAGTAATAGTAAATTTGCCGTAATGGCCACAAAATGGAGGTATTCAAAGGGTAGAGAAAACAAATTTTTGTTTGCAAAATCATGAATAACCCCCTCTCCAAATAGTATAGGGATAGTACTCGTACAGTCAGTGGTTGCACCGCAGGGGCACGAGGACTTTACGGCACGACTGTACGGCGACCCCACTGCCACCCTCAACAATTGGGGCCAGGAAATAAAGAACGAATATATCCAAGCTCGGGTGCTATCATAAAATTTGCCCCCGGTTCCTTTGACTAACCTTTTTCAATCCGGGTTTTCTGATAGCTGGACATGGTCTTCAGGGCATCTGAAATGCCGGACCATGACATCTTGGTGTTATTCCAGGGGCAAGCCGCAACTAATGTTTTGTCACCCCCAAGGTTCGGAAAACCCAAAACGACCGGACTTTTCCTTAGAGTTCCCCATTACAGAACAAAATTCCGAGGATTTCTATTCATGACCCCCCCAACCACAAGATCCATCATAGCTTATTTGAGTATTCATGTATTATACGGGGGCTGAATGAAAGAACTTGAGCGTGATCCCACCGACAGCAACCTGCACCCTCAATCGGACCTACTATCAGGTGAGAAAGTACCCTCTGCCACACCTCAAACATTGCGGAGAACAACAGGCGCCCAAAGAACTAGGTATACACTTTTTGCACAGGCTCATCCACAGTGTTGTAAGGACGTTATAGGGACAGAATATTCTTATCCTCGAAGAAGGTGCAAAAACCTACCCCAATGTCACTAGTTCCCTCTGGTAAATAGCTAGCCATTCGCTGTATGGGGAGGTTTGCATGGACAAGCAAAATCCATTCGAAATAGCTATCCCCTTACACAAAAGTGTGATCCGGTATGATACGGTATACCCTAGGCGAGGTGAGGGATATGTATTACTTCTAAATACTACGAAAGTAGCAAATTAGCCGGAATCATTTTACCCAATAAGCTAACCAGGCAAGGTCTCATGAGTTTGTAAGATAGGCCCCAGAGCCCCCTCCCCGAGTATCAGAAGCAAATATCGTACACCTTCAACAAAGCCACTCACAAGATTTAATAACGAACACTGCATCGCTTACTGGCCCCAAAGCCCCCCAATAGTCGGAGGGGCAGTTGGGACAAAAAACCCAACAATGAGAAGCGAAAAAGAAAAAAAAAAGTTAGCTCTTTGGCTCCACGCAGGTGGGGATCCCGGAGGGCCGTGCGTGTATTCCAGATAGGCAATTCAGGGCCACGGGATAAGTACGCCCATACGCTGAGTGACGAAGGTACCAGGGTACTGCTCATTTGCACTACAGTTACCGCTGTTTATGACGAGTACCGGAACGACAGGACACAAGGCAATCAGTCAGAGCTGGGACGATGAGGTGAGTGATTTCTCGTGATAATAGATTACTATTTGTGCAATGGCTAGATTCCGTTTGAAATTCGCTAGTATCATGAACCCTCCCCCCGCCGCCCCGGCGAACTACGCAATGCCGGGTGAGAAGGATCCAAAAAGGTATGTCCCATGGACTGATGAGGCATGTAGATTGCGAACCTCCCGTTCAAGGAGCGGCTCACACCGCTTCAAGTTGACACCCCCATGACTCCATCCAATGACTTTCAGCTGAGGTCATATTTTGCTGATTAACCACGGTATTGCGAACGGATGCATATACTAGATCTGGAAGGTCCAGAATTCACATGTCCCACCAGTCCATGGGATAAGCCCCAAGGGATTGTGTCCCAACCACCCACTCCCTCCCTATAAGGCTCAATCAATCAAGGCCCCCACCTTCTAGCACGAGTCTAAGTATTTGTACGGCTCCGTGAGAACTCCAATACGGCAAAGGGTAAACTCGCTTGGACGCTGTAGTTGCCTCTCCTAGAAAGCTGCCCATATACTCGTATTCCTTTTGTCTCTCCCAATCGAGAGCTGGCTTTTCCGGGCGTTTTCCTAGCGCAGCGGAAAAGGCGAATTCCAACACTAATACTCGTGTACGAGTGCGGTCGATAGATATATTAGTCACGTGGGTCTGATAAGATAAAAATTTGGTTGGCCTTCTGGTTGTGGTGTCCAGAGATACCGTAATGCACATGACTAATATATCTATCGGCTGCACTCGTATACCTTCCTACGAGCACAGTGCCCGCTCACCCATGTTAAGATTATTAAGCAGCCCTGTTTTTCCTAATAGCGGATGGGAAAAAAAATGAATTTTTTCTTCCGTTGGGGGATAGTTTGTTTGGGCGCGCCATAAGCACAGAGGTCCTAACCATTCCGGGAATTCACGAAATCAAGCTGTCCCCGAAACTGCTAAAGCTTACAAGTATCATACAAGTGCCAGGGGAGATGTTTTCGTACAAGACAGGGATTATTTTGCGGGCTAACCTAAATTAACTGTGCGAAAACATTATCCCTAGCACTTGTACAGTAAGTTATAGGTTTCCTGGTCACGGCATATGCTATTCTCCTCTAAAGAGTTAGAATCTGGAATGCCATACTGGTATAGTACTAGCTACACAGGCTAGTAACAAATTATCCCCTCAGCGTAAGTGAACCCTCGCCAATCCGCATGGGCAAATGGGGTGGCTGAATCACCGGGTATGATGCCGTATTACCGCCTTGTAGTATGATAGGACTAATGATTTTCCCCTTACTACATATAGCCTTAACCCTTAAACTATCGCGACATTCCCGTGCAGGTTGAGATGTGTGGCACTAATCCATTTGAGTATCAGACCTATATAGTACTGTACTCGTACATGTGATATCAAGAAACGGAGCGACCAATTTGCAATTTCATTAAATCTGATGATGGGGAACGGGTAAATAGTAGAGGACTTCTGAGTCGTTTTGTGAATGCTGGAGATTGTGGGATCGGTAGGTTAGTTGTAGTAGGGGTAGAGGAATAGCAAGTTCTTGTATTTTCTATGACATGACTGACGAGGGTTAGACTAGATGGTGGAGGACAATAAGGTTGAGGCAGCACGTGCAGTATAGTTCAGCGATCGTGATTTAAACTCCATTCGCTAATGTTCTAAGATGTCGCTATACTAATCATTTCTAACTTACGTAGTTCTGCACATTTCAATCTTGACCAGAATACCCCAAAGGATTACAAGATGGAAGGAAAAAATCCATAGCCTCCAATCGTTCAGTCCCAATAGGTCCTAGTCTAACATCCGCGCGGGCGTTGACTAGCTCTCAGCTATCGCGCGAGCTAGGTAGGCACCTCATAAAATGGCGCCCCCCCTGAACGAAATCCCGCAGTTATCTTGCCCGCAGATAGATTCGCGCTTCCCCCTTCCCTCACCTGAGGCTAAGTACCAGTACAACAATACACCACATGGTGCAGTATCAAAAATTAAACGGGTTCTATAGAAGCAGGGTCCATTCTCAAGAGCAAAAAAAAACAAAAAACGAAAACTATACTCATTAATCGCCAATTCCAAACTACAAGATCCCTCGGTAAGATACTCAAAGAAATAATAACACAAGTACGATATAAACGACGAAGAACGAAACAGATAGGCCAGACCGATACCAGGACAGGACCAACCGAACAGGATACATTGGCAAGTACGATGATAGCATACAGCACAGGAATACCATAGCACTCCCACTGAACCCGTTTAGAATCAATCCCGTTCAGGGAATGGCACCCATGCTATGAAAAAGTCCGGCGGCTCGAGTTTAAAAGCAGCGCTCCCAACAGCACCATCGGCCAGACAACAGTTAGTACTGTAAGTGAGCAATCAAGCCCATGCCAAGCCCGTCTCTCGAAGGGATGTCCACAAGTCCTCTGCAGGAGAATTCTACTTATTTATTTGTGAGCTCGAGACCTATTATACTTGCACCCTTACCTAGATGTATATATATTCAAGCAAGTACACTTCCACCCACACTCGCTCCCCCCCGTATACTTTTTATCTGGTATTTTATCATCTTTCCAATCACGACAGGGTCTCCAACAGATCCCTCGAGTGACATTGCATGATTCTTACCCCTGCGGATAAAACACCGTATAATTCACAATACCGGTATATATATATCTATGATATCATAATAATATATCATAGGCTTGGTGCTCGGGTACTGTACTTGCTAGTATGCTAGCGTAGGGCCCCACCCCCGAGCAGGAGGCGGTTTGCTCCTTTCGTAGCCGGCTTCTGCCAATAATACCCGGCCCCTGGAAATGTGGAGATCCGGCAGGAAGTTTTCCCTTACACCCCCAACCAAGTCGGATATACCTGTTGATTCTATTCTTTTCTCTTTTTCCTCCTTTCCCTCTTCCCTCCTTCCACCCCGGCCCGACGGGGTTGTCTCGCTGCGGCCAGGCGCAGGAGTTAGGACGGAAGTAAGGAAAGACCTGATGATATGTGTTATCGGATGACTAGATGCATGGATGGATAAGTTATATCAATATGATACATATTACCATACCACCAGACGTATAAGTCAACCAAACCTTTAGTGCTATCATAGCTCACCCATGGGTAAGTTGGGTAAGGCTCCTTTTTTTTCACCCGCCATACACGCTGTAGAGTACGCCGGGGTCAACCCTATCATACAAAAGTGAAATATTTTGTCCACATTTCCCCCGAGAGAGGTATTTATTTTACGGCTATGTACGGGATCAAACCAGCACTTGGTCGCCATCGTCACCGGAATTGGATAGCCCTTTGTTCTTTTGTTCTCTCTCTCTCCCCTTTCTCACGGCTCGAACGAAACCCACACACAAAAAAAAGGATATAAAAACCCCATGAAGCAGAGGACGTAAATATCAAAAGTAGCGTATCATACGAAAACACCCAATCAAAACTTGTGGCTATTCTCTCTTCCCCTCCACTTCCCACATAGCCAGGCAACTAACCTACGTTAGGATCTATGGTGAGCCACTAAGTCGACTTCTTTTTCGGCTGGGCAAGTGGGTGGGCCTCGGTGTTACTGCATCAAAGTCAGTATATATTTCGTGGAGCCATCTCCCGAACCTAGGTGGCGCTCACAAGACGTATTCATCCCTACAGAGTGGTTAGATTGTTAGAATTAAAATTGGAAATATAGCTATAGTTGGAAAAACTTACAAAGAGATAAGGCCTGGATCACTGAACAGGAGGTAAAAGTATCTAAGATGTGTTAAGATGGTAGCAGTGAGAATCTTGTGCACGGGGGTGAGCCTACTTGAGTGTCTCGGCGTTAAAGAACGATTCTTGAGAATCTAGCTGAAGAAATTGAGGATCTCCACGAGCCCTTGTTACGTCTAGGGCGAGTGATTCCAGTCACTGAGCAGTCTCCAAAAAAATAGCATCTTAGAAGACTTACCTGCGATTGCGGAATATGCAACCTCTGTTTGTGTGGCATTAACAATGCTTTCGAACATCTTCCACCCCTTATCTTGCCACTTTGAGTCGGCTGACACACGATACCTTACCGTATGTTAGAGAGACTATATTTTAAAAGAGATGCCTGACCCACATTATGAACACAGATTCAATGGCTTCTGGTCGCAGGATATATCTATAAACTGTTAGTCCTCGCCGATATCAAATGATTCACAAGACAGCCCAAACCTTCTATCGCCAATCATAGTGAACCCAGATGGTAACCCTTCTGCGCTGATTATATTATGCGCAATCTCAGACACTGACTTTGGTGCCTCGGTTGGGGCCCTCTTAGGGTGTTGATGGGGTTCCACTGTGGACAGCTTTGTAGGCCGTAGGTAATCTGGGACCAGCATATCATGGTACAGCTCTGTGTCGAATCGGCACTCTGTTGCAGTCTTGTTGCATGGGGCAACTCGAAACCACTCTGGCATAATCCCTGTAGGGAAGGCACCATAGGCCCAAACACAGCCGTCTGTAATCTTAGCAGCTAACTTGAGGTCGTCATCACGGTCGAGTGCCCTGGCTCCCAGGGCCAACATGCCACCAACAAAACAACTCTAGATAATATATTAGCCAAGCCTCAGAGCAGCCCCAGATAAGAGAAATCACCAAATGGCCCGTGTCTCCATCAAAACGGGGCTCTACACCGGGGGACACAAGAACATTCCCAGTGAGAAGGATATCAGGATCCCCAGCTGCGTAAGGTCGGTAAAAGAGATACTCCTTTGCAACCTCAACTACGGCCTCGTACATCCTCTTGTATTGATTTTTTCCACCTAATAGAATGTATTCCTACAAACCCAGTGCGTCAGAATAGGCTTTACCTCAATAATGCCCAGCCTTGGACGAGTATTACCTTAATCAAGTACTCATACAATGAATCAGCCATGCCCCCCAACGTAAACTTTTCCTCTCTCTGGTAGGATGGGTTTGTTAGCCCTTGTGGTAAACAAGTAGCTAACGCCTCCGGGGCCTTTGCCCCGGTTTGACCTCCCTTCGCTGTGGCAGTCCTCGTATCCCTTTCGGCCCGCTTTTCTCTTTCTTTTCCAACAACTGAAACCCCACCTGTCTTTTCGCCCCCGGGCTTGTTTACAGCATGTGTGCCGTCTTTTAGTAGAGGTGCTGCGGGGGCCACGCTCCTTTGTTGGGGGCTAGGCCTGACAACCTTGCATCCAGAAGCGTCAATAATCATTGGCCACATTCCTGGAAGATTGGATTCATTTTGGGACTCTTCCAGCGCATTTGTGATGCGTTGTACCGCATCATAATAAGTACTATTGCCGGTTATCTGGGCCAGGCGTGTAAACTCGACAGTCAAGGAGCCGAGTTCTGCGGAAACAGACCTTATGTCTGCACGAACTTCTACAGCTGTTTGCCTCCTGTAAAGGAATAAGCCAATGATGCTACTGCAGGGAACAATTAACTACGTACGGTCTGAACCCCCAATGCAGTACTGGCATTCGATTCGGAGTATCAAAGGCACCATATATCATATCACCCAGTTCGATTGCCTTAGTAAGTAGGCTCTGATGCTTTGCACCGGAAACATCGTATGCGGCAATCAGACCTCCGAGATACCGAATGACAGTTTCAAAAACGGGAATTGAGGCCATAGATGTAGTAGTGAAATCAATGTTGGCCACCTCATCAACTGCCTCTATGAACTCGTCTTCCATACCCATGATCCATAAAGTGTCCAGAGAATCCACCAAGGTTGCCCCCCAGCCACCAAAGGGGTCTTTGAAATATTTACTCACGGGCATAAGCTCGTCGTGGCCCCAAGCATACTCCTTGTATCCACTCCATGAGCGCTTGAAAGCATCCTTGACAGCCTCCAGACGCTCAATACGAACCCTGCGCTTGGTTTCACTTTCAGTACCAAAAGAGGCCTGTATTTGGGGAATCCTCCCTGTCTGGGGGGTCGGCAATGGGATAATTGATTCCGAAGGGACAGGGAAGTGTTCCGGTGACTTGACCCATCGATCATCTTCAGTAGCAGGAATAGCCTTTGCAGTTTCGGTGCTGTGATCATGATGCTTAACAGATGGAATAGTGGGAGCCGCGAATTCCTTAACTGTGTGCTTAGACGGTACCGAAGCATTCACCGAAGATTTGCTCGGCTTGAGATCCTTCGAGCTGGCTGTAGCTTGCGTATGAGGCTTGGGTGAAGGCTTCTCAATGGGAGGAGTCGGCACAACTGGGGGTGGTTTCGGTTTTTGCTCTCCCACTGGTTTCTGGTCAAGCGTTGTTTCAGGATGGGGCTTCAGTGGATCAACCGAGAAGGAAGCACTGGTATCTTTGAAAGAGGTGAAATGGATAAAAACGACAACCGTGATAACCGCAAGCAACAACAAGGGCCGGTATCGCCGGAAACGTACAATGCCCGCCATTGCGAAGGGGGGGATAAAGCTGGATCAGCTGCGGTTCTCCCTCTTTAAAAAAGCTCTTCTTCTGTTGTATCCGGAACACCTGAGCACGAGTGATAGGTTTTGAGAGAGGGTTACCCCCCGTTGTAGGGATTTCCGCTGTCGACAGATGATGGCCCAGAGGCAAGCTCTCATAGAAAAGGATCGGGTTTCACAGAAATGGACCTCCGGTCAGTCTGAGGGGCGGTTGGGGCAAAGCCGCAACACGAAATCAAGAATATTGGAATAGGGGCCTTTGAACGTTCTTCCGGCCTTGGCAACCTCTCAGGGTTAGGTAGATCACGGGTTCGCGGCAACCGAAGATATCACAAGTATGGTACAGTACATACCAGTGCAACTTATTCACAGCAGAAGACACAAGAGTTAGGACACGATATCATATCAACCTACAATCACTCGATAGAGAATACAATGTATTTTATCTTTTTCCGAGGGGAAAAAGGCAACGGAAGTCGATCTCCATCACTCGGCTTTGAGTTTAGGGACCACGAGAGCGCCACCGGTAGGTAGAGCCCAAGGCAGCGAAACAGATCCATCAAGAAGAGCATTCCGTGTGCCCATGCGGCCACGCCCCCGAGATCCAGTTGTCAAAACGCCTCGGCCTGGTGTACGGCATTTGCGCTATGTCCAGACACAATTTACCGTACCGGAACCGTAAGAACACAATTCCCGTCCTTGCAATCACTTCCGGGGTTGGTGATCCACGAGCCGAAGGGCGAGCACAGCGTTGTACGCACGAGGTGAAACCCGGGGTAATCGCGCTATGATGTTAGTGCGGAGCCCCATAACAATCAATTTCCGTCTTCCATTCAAAGAATTCGTGCCTGTAGACTATCCCCCAAACACTTTCTTGACCATATCAACGACCCATACCTTAGCAAAGGGCATTCCCTCAGAATTAACTGACAAGCTGAGGTATGATATTAACAACTACAGCACCAAGCACCACCCACGACAAGGGCCCTAGGGCGAAAGCAGACACTACGCTCCTTAACGTCCCCCGGTAAACCTTCTGATAACCTCTCTGCCCTTTCAGCGCGAGAACAGTAGCAGATCCATAAACCCTGTTCTTTTCCCCCTCCACTTCCTGTGTCCTCTCACCACTACCCAGGCTTTCCAGATAGCTTAAAACCAAACCCATATGCCAATTCATGTCTCACCTTTCCTCCCATTCTTAGTACACTAGCGCAGAAATTAAGTTAATTCGCAGGAAATCATATGCTACGGCAATTCGAGATCGTACACTTATCATGTATACCGACCTAACCCATCTTCCAAGTCCTTCCAGCAGTGTTAGGCCTGGATCCGTGAGGCGCCCCTTGTAATCAGGGGCCTCAGTGATAGTAGCGGAGATATTGCTATTATATTGAGATGAGCGTGTATAAGCTTGAAATCCTCACTTGCAAGATCGAAGCTGCGACTCTCTTTCGTGCCGTCACGACCAAAAAAAAAAGGTGAGTTCAATTTGAGCGACTACTAGAGCATATGAGACCATGAGAATCGTACCATGGCTAAACTCACATGAACACACATGGATTCTGGCCAACGCTAGATACTGTACTGACAACGGACCGGAAGCGGATCTCCTTTTCGTCAGTTTACTTTTTTGAACCCCCCCGCACCACTCCATAATGGACGGAAGGCGAAGAAGAAAAAAATCATCTACAAAGGCACGTTTCCGACAGGGGGCTAATGATATCCATGCGGTCTATTGGCAAATGTATGGCACCGAAAAGGGGGACTTATGAAGCAACTACGGAGCGGAGCAAGATCAATTCCAAAAGCACTAATACCTTACTTGACTAAACGCAGCTCGGGTGAGCTGCAAGGAATGAGTACGAGGGAGTTGTGTGAATGCTGCTAGAACAGAATGGCGTTAATAGAGTATTTGTGCAGTTAGAGGTAGGTGGGAGCAATCAATGGTGTTTCTAGAGGTAGTATAATAGCTCGCATTGAAGCTCCTGAAACCCCCGACAAATGTTGTGCTTCAATTTGGTCCTTACAGGGGATCATACAGCAGTCAATTCACAAATATCCTGTAACTACTCTTAATGAAATTGTAGTTAAGGGACGCGGTTACAATATTATAACATAATGAAGGCAAAAGGGTAAGTTATCCTGGAAGCTGGCATTTAGGCTCCTCAATTCCAGGTTCGATTCCATGGTTTTTACACCCCAACTGGGCGGGACCAAAGGATCAGGTGGCCAACCCTTGTCATTGATATTCTGTTAATAAAACTTAGGCTTGTCTCAGCAATCTCTCTAATGTTTAAAGAGTGGATAAGCGGAGCCGGACGTCACTCTGGTGGGTTTCCGGCAACTATAAAGGGTCTTTCGAGGCTAGTAGAGTTGGTACTAAAATAGGATCACAACATCATGACATGGTAATATACCGTAAAATCTCATGAAATCCACTATCTCCGTCCCCCTCCCCTGAGAAAGGATTAGCGTTTTCCCAATACAGTAAAGGATAGGACGGCTAGGTGTGTTTTGGCTATTACTAACCAGTATTCGCAATTCCATTAACCTGCAGGACTAAACCCATAGTGGGATGATGGGTGACCTGAGTGGGTGGACTTTTATGAGATTCTACGGTACTCATTGTCGGATTAAGGTCGCCTTTCTTTTTTTGGTGGGATACTAGGAAAAAAAGTAGCGGTGGCTTCACTCAGGCTACTTGAGTGAGCGATGGAGCAACTTTGTATCGAATCGTAACCAAACTAGCTATTATCATACCCTTATTGGAATGATATATTAGGACTAGTTCCTTGCTACTAATTGCTGGCTCCGAATACACGATAAAAATACAAGTAGTCTACCCGAGTACGCTCCAACACGAATGCTCCCAAAGCGCAAGCACCAGTACTGTACAGAACGATATTTAGGGTCAAGCCTAGAATCCCTCTAGACCACTGGGTACGATACAATAGCACACGGCAACAATGCTAGTACTTGTAGTTCGTAGTCGAGCATGGTTCTGGGAATGTCCCTATCGTGGAGGTATTTAGGGAGCCTCCATATAATCAACGGAGAGTGAGAAACCTCAACCAAAGTCTGATGGCGCTTACTTCCATGGCCTACCGGCACTCGAACAGGGTACGAGTATGATAGTTAATTACTTGTACTTGAGTACAATACTGGTGCCATATCCAAGTATCGGGATGGGGAGCCTCGCCAACATATCCCAATGCCGCTCAACCAAAGAAAACTAGGGTAATTTAAGTAACAAGATATGACAAGAGATATCGGTACTTGTGCGGAGCGGTTGCAATACTCTCGATACCCTTATTCTCTATTAATGAACCGACTTACCGTATCTTGTGGGTTATCGTGCTTATAACATTATATCTAGCATAATGCTGTGACAGGTTTACCTGTATCATACCATATCCGGTCCGACGCGCTCCCGTCCGCAAGCAGACCCATTTGTTAAATGACTGCATATCTTGGCGCGCGCTGGCAAAGCCGGGAGCGGTACTTGTTTCATAACTGTACGAGTATCGAACCGTAGGGTGCATGTGCCTGTACGAGTACCGGTACCAGGCACCTCACGATGACGGAAAACCACCCGTGATACAAAGCAACCAACGACCGCAAAGCAGACGTATCGCCTGGTAACAAGAAACTATAAGGTTGCCATTTGTTCTAGTGTCGCAGCGGGCTATCATACGCTATGGTATGAATACCGTATATACTCGCACGGTGTCGAGCTTCCACTCTAGGAGTATTAAGAAGGGTCTAGGCCAAATCCAGGTAAAGTGCCGGACAGCCCAGTCGTCGTGGCCCCTGTTTACTGCTGGTGAAAGACGCCGGGTGTCGGTACCCGGCCGTTCATAAAGTATTCGGACGCCCGGGCATTATTTGTACCTGTCTTGGTGCCAAGCGTCCGAACACCCTGTCAATGGCCAAGTAGATGATATGAATCCTAACAGCTAATGTCACACTTGAAATGCTTGGCGTTACCCAGCCTCTCCATCTGTCCCATCTGTCCCATCGCCCAAGCTCCTTCTCCTTTCCACAAGCCCTTCACTCTTTCCTCAACCACCTCACTCTCTATTCATTCTATCATTCAAGTTCCTAAAATCAGCAACATCGCTTAGACAGCGGATACTCTCAATCATGAAATCTTCTCTCATCTTCGCAGCTAGCTCCCTTCTCGGGTCCGCTCTGGCTGGGGTCCACAGGGCACCGTTGAAGAAGATCCCGCTGACGGAGCAGCTTGTAAGTTTGCCCCAGTTTAGCCCGCTTTCCTGTTTCCTTTGTTTTGGGGGCTTCCTAACTAACAATCACTCTTGAATCTCTAGTCTCACCATGACATTAGCACCCAAATGAAGGCCCTCGGCCAAAAGTACATGGGAATCCGCCCAGAAAAGATTGGAGAGGAAATGTTCAAGACTCAAGAAATTAAAACTGATGATGGCCACCCAGTCCCAGTTACCGTAAGTACCTTAGTTCGTGTTCGCCCGGGCCAGGCTAATATTTCGCGTGTAGAACTTCCTGAATGCTCAGTGTAGGTTCCGAATTGAGCCCGACTAAATGTACAAAATCCTTATTAATACTTGGTAGACTTTTCGGAAATCACCATCGGAACCCCCCCTCAAAACTTCAAGGTTGTTCTTGACACCGGAAGTTCTAACCGTATGTTACTTTCCTGCGGTGATCCAAGCATAGTTCTTATTGAGATGCAGTTTGGGTTCCCTCTTCCCAGTGCGGTTCGATCGCTTGCTACCTGCACAGCAAGTACGATTCGACAAGCTCATCGACCTATAAGGCGAACGGTACTTCTTTCGAGATCCGCTACGGCTCTGGAAGTCTGAGTGGCTTTGTCTCCCAAGACAACGTAGAAATTGGTGACCTTAAAATCAAACATCAGAATTTTGCTGAGGCAACTTCTGGTAAGCTCTGACGCTGTCCACGTCCTCTTGGATTTCGTGTCTAATTGTTGAACATACAGAGCCTGGTTTGGCTTTTGCTTTCGGCCGGTTCGATGGCATTTTGGGACTTGGGTATGACTCAATCTCGGTCAACCACATTGTTCCTCCCTTCTACGAGATGATCAATCAGGGCCTTCTTGACAAGCCTGTTTTTGCTTTCTACCTTGGTGGTAAGGGTGATGAGAGTGAGGCTATTTTCGGTGGCATCGATGAGGACCATTACGAGGGCAAGCTCATTAAGCTTCCTGTCCGCAGAAAGGCTTACTGGGAAGTCGAGTTCGAGGCTATAACCTTTGGAAAGTCGACTGCTCAATTCGAGAACACCGGAGCCATTGTCGACACTGGAACCTCTCTGTAAACTTTCCCGCTTCCCCGGGGCTTGATCCATCCGCTAACCTATGGCAGCATCGCGCTCCCATCCACCCTGGCTGAGCTCTTGAATAAGGAGATTGGAGCCAAGAAGGGTTTTAATGGGCAGTACAGCGTTGAGTGCGAGAAGCGCGACTCACTCCCAGATCTCACCTTTACCCTTACTGGTATGTGTGATCGCTATCTTGTCTCGTTCTGATTACTGATAACGGGCCGCAGGCCACAACTTTACCATCACCGCCTATGACTACATTCTTGAGGTTCAGGGTTCGTGTATCAGTGCCTTCATGGGTATGGACTTCCCCGAGCCCATAGGACCCCTTGCCATCTTAGGTGATGCATTCTTGCGAAAATACTACTCCGTTTATAACCTAGGTGATAACACCGTCGGTCTTGCTAAGGCCAAGTAAGCCAAGTCTGTTTAATGGGCGCCTGTGAAGATGGATGGAGCTGAATGCGTTTGCATGGTATTGGGAATGGGTCTCGGTCTGGCGAGTTGTTATTTGTTTTCTGAGTTTCAATTTTTGTTTTGCTCAGGAGAGTTTTTCGTACACTGCTTTTGCGCCCAAATGTTTTTTTTTATGGCAGTATTTTTCTTTGTCTGGGGACTTTGAACTTCTGAGGCTGCCCGCTACGGCATGTTTTCTACGAAATTGATATTTAATCCGCATTTGACTCGACGTGACTCTGTAAGTTACCCGCCGTTTACCGAACCCGAACCCCTTTCACAAGGTGTTGGGCTGAAAGCTATCCTCAAACCAAAGCTAAGACTTCAACATTGGTTCGGGGAGCATCATACAATACGAGTACCGTCCCGTGCATAGTCTTGTTCGCTCGGTTCATCACGGGGTGTATAGGCCCATTTATCTCCAGCAGGGATAGGGAGAGAGTTGACAAGCACACGGGTGCAGAGGTAAAAGGAGAGAGAAACCAGCCAACTTGGCTTGTTCGAAATTTCGAGCCTAAAGTCTGTTACCGCAATACCCGTGACTGAAGGACGTTCGTGAACACAACCGCTATCGCGCGGCACTCGGATCCGAGAAAAAAGGCTGAATTTCGGCGGCATGCAGTAGCAGTTGTGTTCACAAACGTCATTCAACTAGACTACAGTAAATTTATCATACGGGACGAGCATGGCACGCGTAGAGCAGCGTACAGTAGGCTAGTCAAGAAGTATCGACCCCTCAGCCACCCTTACGAAACGCGAATTCAAGAATTGCAGAGGATGAAGAACGACAAAAGGAGCTCGGGGTGTAGGGAGCGACCTGATTCGCGGTGCCCGTCGTATCACGCAGCGCTCTCATACCGAACAGCCCACACAAAGCGAAGGAAGGAGGGGTCGCCGATTGCCGGCACAATATTACTTATACAAGCCCGCGGACCGTAGTGTAGCACACCACGTCGGGTGAATGAGTGACGAGGTGCCGAGCTTAGAGTTAAGATAGGCGTGTAGTGTACGAGTACAGTACTAGCGCAGGTTGTTTTTCCAATGTATGGTGCCGGTACGAGTATGTAGCATTTCCCCCTAAGGGCATAGATAGATAGAGTCTGTGATACTTGCTGTTGGATGAATGGATGAATGTGCTCTTCCTGTCCTGTCCTGTCCTATCCTATCCTATCGGGTCGGGTCGGTGATTCGGTGCGATCAAGAGCCGTCTGCGAGCCTTGCCGTATAATACGGTACAGTACAGTACCGGTACTCGAGTACTCGTATCTGGAAGCTCGGACACATGATTAACTTGGGGTTGAGGTGGAACTACCGGTGCGATAGATTTTCGGTGGGTGTGACCGCTGCTATTTCTTACACGGGGTATGGTGCGGTACCGGTATGATATGTGGGGGGTCATACTTTGAGGTATGACACTATACCGTACTCGTATACCGTAGTCTACCGTACTTGTATTGTGTGTGCCTTGAAGATTTATTTATATACCCGGGTACCACTACTCGGGAATTTTTCAGAACAGGTGCTTGGCCCCCTTGGGTTCCTGGGCATATATAGATGGTCAAGGAACGGAGCAGGACTAAAGTGCGTGGACTATGATATGATGCTTGGACTTTGGGATGCGAATAGTATTGCTGCTGCTGCCTGCTACTTACTACTCAGGCATTTATGGGGCTGCCCTTCTCCCCATAGCGCTCATAAACAAGAGCCCCCCTCTCAAAACTTCACCGGAGAAGTCCCCCCACGATATCCTCTGAAATTTGCCAATGGCTATCTATATTCAGCAGCGATGTGCACGAGGCGATCCTCAGGAGAGCCAGAAAGGGACAATGGGAAGCGCTGGGGAAATAAAAATGGATGTTGTAGGTAAAAACGCTGGAACCCCCAGAGCGGCGGCCGGACTGATTTTTTGGCAAGTTCGTGTTTTCTGCCTGGGGGAGCATTACTGGTATGATACTGTACCAGACTTCCAAGCTCTTCTATACAGTTACCGTGCAGGCGGCTCCACAGCAGGGAATTCCCGGATCCACCAATGGTGGGAGTAACAAAAAATATTGGTCCCTAGATTCTTGGTTCGTTGAACGTATCCACCCATCTGGTCGGGACCCGCGAATGGGGTTCACAGGGTAAACTCGAACTGTTTTACGTTTTTTGCCCTGTTTTTTGACTCTTGCTTCTTCCCCCCATCTTGGTATATCTCTTCTCTCTCGCATATCATGTGATGTTTTGCCCAGGGATGGAGGTGGGCTCGAATACCGAGTGATTTATTGTGAATCACACCGGTTGGTTGAACTGCGCGGTTGGCCGGGGGAGGCGCGGGCATCCTGTCGGGAGATCACAGTGTGTTAGCGGTAGTCGTTTATTACCGTGGATTTAGGGATGGCGCATACCAGTACTCTGCCCCGCGTATGCCAGAGTTGTTAGGCACAGTCTGATATCTGCAGTGCAGTGGGTACTGTAGGCCCCGGGCACGAGTTGTGTGTATCATACTGAATATCGCAGCGCAAGGCTACGACACCCATGCATAAAAGGTGCTGTACGAGTGTCATACAAATCCCCACGTGCAGTAGGGTACCGTATGCTGAACCGGTGGCGCAGCACAGCAACATGTTTATGGCTGCTCGCGATATCGTACCGCCGTGACTTGCAATTCTCCCGCGGGGATAATATCTGCCTTTGCGATAGCCGTGGACTGTTTGATTCGTGCATTCGTGTCTTATCGCGCCTCTGAATCGGTTGTGGTGGTGATGGAATATGATATGGTTTATGCGGTTCTCGGGCAAGGACGAGTACAGTACGTACCGTACAGCAGTGGTGATTCACCGATGGATATGCATTTTTCCATAGAAACACTGTGCACAGATATGATATGATATTATATGAGTAGAAGCTGTTCTATGCAATTTTTTTGATTTTTTTTGTGATGCTTGGCGGAGGGAGGTGCCTCTGGTTCGCCCCACTCAAGACTATAATAAGTCATGCCACGAGCACGACAAAGGACAACACAACGCGATGGGACAGGGCGTGGTGGGGATACGGTATGATACCAGCAGTACTCGTATGGGTGGACCCCGGGGGTGAGTTAGGGAGGAAGTAATGGTGAAGCGGGAAAGTATCATACCCGTACATCATTGTTTATTCGCCCTGTTCACCTATTCCCTTTTCCCCATTTCTGGCAAGTATCAAAACCGCAGTCACTGCCAGTCTTGTACTGCACTGTACCCTATCCTCCGGATTATGATACCGGTATCATGCTCGCATCGCAGCACGTATATATAATACCCTTCTTTGCCGAAACATCCAACAGCATCCCTGGATTTAACCTTTTGACAGCGGGATCCGGACCCGGTACCCTGCCCTATCGCCTTGCAGATGGGGTACAGGTTGACTATTCTATCGCAGAGGAGGAAAACACGTAGGCAGAGATCTCGGCTGTGGTCCCCTGGTCTCGTGATTTCTTCTAGGGGGGTGCGGGAGGGATGTTGTGTCGTGGAGACAACATTGTCATGGTGGAATCCAGAGTACGGTAGTCTACACACCCACAAGCGCAGCACGATTTCGCACGCAACTGCAGGATACCGGTATGATAGGGTAAGGGAGAGGTGGCGCACATCGGTCTGCTCTGCAGTGCGATATTTTGGCGGGGATTTGTTGGGCTCAAATCAAAACGGAAAGTCAAAATCCACAAACCTCACCTTTTCTTCCCCGCCCATCACACCACACCACATCACATCGGATCATCCCTCCTTTCGCCCCTCCTGGCGCTCGGTCTCGGGGAGCGAGATCCCAGCCCTGCCCCTCCTACCACGACGTCATGAGGGATTCCGGTGCACCATCAAAACTGGGGGTGCCTGTGACTTGGTTGCCGCATTCGCCTCACGGTGAGTGGGCGGTTGTGGCAATGCACGGGGTACTCTCCGCAAGGTTTTGTGGCTGGTGTACTAGCCGGATGGGACCGCTAGGCCGGGGTGATACCGGTACTCGTATACCGACACCGTACTCGAGTACGGCACAGCGTCAGAGGCCGCATGCTCAACACGGTGCCATGCCATACTTGTGGTTGTATGATACAATAGCACAGAGGGGCAATAAATCTACCAGTATTCCGTCAGTCAGTCAGTCAGCCGCACCGCGGCCCGGGATGGACTGGGGGGGCAGATGGCGTATCCGTACCCTGCGAGATAAATCCAAACCACAAAGGGAGAAAGCCACACTCATCATAAACACACTTTTCCAGTCTCATTTGTCCGTCTGTCCGCACCTCTACTCGTATAATAGCAACCTAAATTTACCGGTATGGTAACTTGAGAGAGTCACCCACCGACTCGGAATCGACCCGACTCGAAACTGGGTTGATAGCGGAAACATTTCGAAAAGAGGTGCAATTTTGCGATAAAAATAAATATAAAAAAAGGCCTCTTACTAACGTAACTATTGGTCGATTGATTGAGTGAACGGGAAGGTAACAGCAGCGCGCCTTGTGGTCCCCAGTCTACACACCTACGCACCACATAAAGTGAGTTATACAATACTGGTACAACACTTGCAGAGATGAACGAATAAACGGATGCATGAGAAAGGGGAACAAATAAACAAAGACCGAAACAGAAGCCCCTAACCCACTCAACTCGCCTAGAGTCCCGGGTGCTAAATGGACCCCTAAATCTGCGGGGAATTAATTAAGCTATGCCGTGCTACGCTCTGCCGTGCAAGAACACATAGCATTACCGGTATATCATAGGTGTGACAGCTCGGGTCTTCAAAGGGTCCGTATCATCATACAATACGAGTGAGTTAGTTGTGTGCATCTGGTTATATATCAATAAATTTTGTGATACTGCACTCTAGTACTTGTATGATACCCGAGTATGATACAAGTACAAACGTACCGTATCGGACTGGGAGAGGGATCCCAGGCGCAGGAGTCAATAATTTCGTGAGAGGATCTCGCCCAAATCCTCACCAATCGCCGCCACACCTCGCACGCCACACACACCCATAAAAACCCACCACCGACGAATCCATTGTGGCTAGCGCTAAAGCGATCGCAGCAACGGAAGCCGAGAGGGGGCGCCCGGCACCGCGGCGATCGGCAGCAGGGAGGTTGATCGGTGAGTTCGAGAAGCACATTGGTGCCACAGCCACCGTTTTAAAACGAACGGGACGGATTGGCTAGGTTTTGTTTTGTTTTGTTTTGTTTTGTTTTGTTTTGGTTTTTTCCCTTCTTTTTGGGGAAGCGCACCGCATCTTTCCCTTCCTTCCTTCCTTCCTGTCTTCGTTTTTGTTTTTTTTCCTACGGTACGAGTACCGTACGGTATTAAGGTTGTGCTGTGTGAGTGGGGATTTTAGTTTACTCGATTAGCGGTACAAGTACCGTATCATGACAAGTCAGGTTACTCGAGTACGGTACCGGTAGACTACCGTAATCGTCGTGTCGTGCGGTGAAAATGCGGATGGTGGGGCGTCCGTCTCTGGCCGGCCGGCTGCCGGCTGCCGGGTAGGTACGGTATCATACCGTATCACACTGTACCGCACGGTATGATACTTGTGCCCGGTACTGTACTAGTACTACCGTATTCGTAAGGTGGGCTTTGGAGGAGGCTGGAGGAGATTCCGAGAACGGGTAACCGGACGCTTTGAACCTGTGATGCCGTAACTCTAGTAACTCGCACAGGTACCGCAAGTATACCTGTAATATTCGGTTTTTATCCTCCGGATTGGACTACGGTACCGGTAATGGCGGTGGCGATGGCGACTTTGTAAATGGTATGTGCCTCATACGAGTGCTGTGCTAGTACTGCATCCATCCCCCGAGTCCACTCCAATTCTCAGGTTTCCTGTCTGCTGGGCCAAAACACCTCGTCAAGCCCTTTTCCTTTTTTAACAAATTACAATCACAGGATATCACTCATGAAGTAAGGTTTCCCTCCTTTCCTTTTCCTTTCCTCTCATCAACCACTCTCACTCGAATCGCGCTTTCCGTCGGTTCGTCACCCGGAGGTGTGTGTGTCGACCCCCTTCCCAACCGAGCTTACGAGTACGGTACGGTACTTGAGTACAGTATCTCCCCTATCCATCCATCCACGATAGTCTACCGGTGCCGCATCATATTCGCCCTTGAGTGCGGTACAAATGCCAGCCCCTCTGCCATAGACCGAATTACTTGTGATGGAAAGAAAAAAAAACACAACATGACCACCGCCACAGGGGATAGGCATAATATGATAAAAAGGAGGCAGCCGAGTGAAAGTGTTAGAGATCGGCAAAGCTATGAGGTCAATCTGCATATCTCTGGTCACGACCACAATTCTGCCCCTCGAACATCATCATCATAATCACCATCACCATCGTCATCGTCATCATCATCATCATCATCATCATCATCATCATCATCATCATCATCATCATCATAGGATAGAAGCCACTGCCTTATCGATATGGATCGAGTGTGCTAAGGGTATGCACGAGCGCCGGCCGGTATGGGCATCCACTGGGCTGCACTGTCCCAGGGCGCGGTGCTGTTGACGTTGGCCTCGAGCACTCTCTGTCTGGGCGAATACCGTGTGGGATAATCTGGATGAGGCTGCTTGTAATGGGTGCATGTGCAATGTGCACGGAATGGTGGTGAAAACAGATCTCACTGTATTCGCTATCATGTTTCGTGTTATCATTGCTGCTGCCCGAGTCGGGTAGTGGTGGGAAGGGAGGGAATACCGCAGCAGGTGGACGAAATTGGGGCCGCGAGGGAGGGGAAAAAAACAAAAAAAACATTTCACTTCATCATAAGGTTATCCGAAGGCAATCATCATCGCAATCATCAGCCCCGGCCCACTGTGTCACCATCTATCTATCTCTATCATACCTCTCTTTTCCTCTGTGCCCTCGTCTTGTAACCTTCGAGGTGTTGTTTTTGGTTATCGACCCCCCCCCCCCACAATTACGGCCGGCCCCGCGTATGATGCGACCAGTCAGCTCCCCTCCCCTTGGCTGCCTGGGAAATAAGGGAAGGAAGCTCCTAGCACATTGCGGAAGCGGTTAGATGGTTACGGAAACAGGAGGCCCAACTGGTTATCGCTATCCTCGTCCCCGCCAACCTCCCTGCCGGCATTCGTTCATCCACTTAAATACGCCTTCAGGGTTACTTGCATCTGCTCCCGGGGAGCAGAGAGAGACGGAGAGAGGGAGGGAGAGAGAGGGAGAGAGTGAGAGACCGAGAGGAAGGCATTCTTGACCCATCTGCCTTGCCGTGCCACTCCGCTGTATTGTGTCCCATCCGTCTATTTTGCCATTCTTGGGTGCATGCAAATCTCTCAAAAGCTCCATTCGAGTGGGAGAAGGAGAGAAAAAGAAATAAGATATCGCCTGCTCTCTATTTTCCCTCTCCCCCCCAATGCCACTTCACTGCTTCTCTTAACTCTGCACCCGGGAAGCAAGTTGCGACTTCCCCTACCGCACCTTGAATACAGTACTCGATTTGACGAATACTACCTACCACCTCCGTGGTGTCCTTATTATTATTATTTTTTATTTTTTTCCCCCACTTCCCTGATTCTGCTTGTTGATCAGCTATGTTTCGCAACAGGTTCGTGCCCTGACGATCTCAATGTCTAGTCTGTTTGTTTCCTGTTCCAAGTTTCTTTATCACCCTTCATCCCGTGGCTCACTGGATACCGCAACCGTAGCGGTATCTGTTGCTCTGGTGATGGGTGGAGTGGATGGCTAGAGGGGGAGGAGGATGAGGGGAAGAAAAAAAAGAAAAACAAGAGAAAACAAAAGAAAAGGGGGGGAAAAAAAAGAAGGAGGTGAAGGGATCAAGAGGGGTCTGTCATTGTATTGCCTGGTGGATTACTATGTTGGATTTCGGTGTTTTGTGGAGGTTTTCGAGGCTGACGGCGGGGTTTCTGTTCTGCTCGTTGTTCCGATGCTCACAGGCAATCATCGCAAAAGCCTCCGGATGAGCTTTTTGAACGTTTTCGACAATCATTCCCCGGCGTGCGCGCGGGATCAACGAGCGGGCCAAGCGAGTCGCATTTGCAGACAGCAGGCGGACTACATGATTCCACCCTGAATCAGCCGAGGCAAGTTCCATGTCATATCCTTGAAGCGCGAGTCGTTCCCGCTTCTCCCTTCTCTACACTTAATCGGGGGAGGGGAGGGGGGAATGGTCTACTTGTCATTGCGTGGGGTGAGGGGAAGTTCTTTTTCCTGTCCCCTTTACCAATTGGCCTTTTTTGAGGGGAAATCACCCCGCGATCTCTGGAAAGGTACGGAGGTGGGAGCTTTCGGGTCACCCCGCTGACAATCTTTCCCCCTCCGGATTAACAGATTTGGACATGATCATGAAGACCTCGAACCCACACCGAAAGCACCCTCGGAGCCATTTCGCTTCACCCCATCGCTGCTAGACCCAACGTCCGCTGCGTTTGCAGCATTCGCGAATCAGCCTCCTGGTCTTTTCACGCCAACTCCGGGCGGCACGAATACCGTGTACAACCCAGCCCATAACGATCTCCAAACACCTAATGTAGGAATCAATGTGGGGACGCCCTTATCGTTGCCGAATACCACGGTGATGGCCCCACCGACCACCAGCGGGGTCGGTGTTACAGACTATGATCCGCAAACCATCCAACCACATCAATTCCACAACTACCATCCCTTCAGTCAGCCCTTGCAGCCCCATTTTCTGGACCCTACCCAGTATGCCCCGGCATCGCCAGGGCCGGGTAGCCCTATGGACCTGGGGGATGGTGGGGGCGAGATCTTGCCGGAGCCTGGGCCCCTGGATGGGTCTGCGATGGGGCCCACCCAGCTATTGGCGTTGGAGGGGAAGCAATACGACCACGAGCTTGGGCCGATTGCGTCATCCGAAAGGTTTGTCTTGTTCATGCCGCCATCGCTCATCAGGACATCATAGTCCTCGCCGGTGCCCATTGCATTGCCATTTCTCGGCCTGCGATACCCTAAGAATAGCCCATCATCACTGCCGGGTCTTGTGAGGGGAATATTTGCTGTTTGTTTGCTAACCCCACAATCTACCATAGATTCCGCTTCAATGTTGTTTTGAACGCGCCCACAGCGATGGTAAAGCACCCCGACGAGATTCCGGTTACGTATCTTAACAAGGGCCAAGCATATGCAATATCAATCTTGGATACCGCTCCGCCCCCTGGCGCTGGGCCCATGAGGTATCGTACCTATGTTCGAATATCCTTTCATGATGAAACGCAACGCTCAAGACCAGCATCGTGTTGGCAACTATGGAAGGAAGGTCGGGGGACTAATGAAGCTCACCAGCGAGGCGGAAAACTGCAAGCCGTTGAGTACGTTGAAGCGTCCTCTCAGCCCGAGGATGACAAGAAGAAAGGGAGGGTCGACATTGAGACAGCATCTTTCGATAGTTTCGCCGTTATATGGTCCCCTTCGTCTTCCGGCTCCCCAGAGACCTCTGTATCCGTACGATTCAACTTCCTTTCCACGGACTTTAGCCATTCGAAGGGTGTGAAGGGCATTCCCGTGAGGTTGTGTGCCAAGACCGAGGTTTTGTCATCAGGTTCACCACATCCCCCGCGGGAACGGCCAGAGATCTGCTTCTGTAAGGTTAAGCTTTTCCGGGACCATGGAGCGGAAAGAAAGTTGGCCAATGACATCCTGCATGTCAAGAAGACTATTGAGAAGCTTAAGCAGCAAGCAAACCAGGTTGAGGGGGTGGGCATGAAAGCATTCGGCAAGAAGGGCAAGAAGGATGAGGATCCCGTAAAGCCTGGAAAGGCGCTAAAGCATAAGCGGACATGGTCAATGTCTTCTGCAAGTTCTGTTGGCGGAGGAAGGACTCAGGAAGAGGATACCAATGCCAAGTTAGCCAGTATGCAGGACATGTTCACTAGCACACGGGCCGTCAGTGTTTTATATCTCCGGGGGAGCGAGATCGACGATCCCGATCTGCATCCAGTTCATCTGCCCGGGGAAATGCCAGAAATCTCGGAAGATGTGTGGGCCAGAAGGAGATCAAGCGTGGCCACCACGAATACTACTGCATCCTCATTTGTCTCGCCAACGCCGAGCTCAGAATCACAGTCTAGCCAGCGTGGCGATGCTTTTAACTCGCTGGAAAGCCGCGATTGGGAGAGGGGATTTCAGCCTCTGCCTCACCCCCAACAACAACAACCGCACCATCTGGGCGTGTCTGATGCTCCGGTTCGTATCAAGCCCGACGCTGGTATGCTCTCTGGCTGGATAGAAGCGATCGGGATTGACTCCTCGTATAACGCGCCCCCAGAAAGGCCTGTCAAGCCTGGTCAGTGATATTTCTCTATCCTCCGCACCCCCCAATCTCGGCCAATGATTTTACTGATAAAATCTATAGTAATGTCTATATACATCCTCCCAACGCCAATTGGATCACCCCCACAAGCAGACCAGTATTACCGAGCGGTTTACCTCCAAGCCCGTGCCTCATCCTGTCTAGCTGCGAGCATTGCCTCCAAATGCGGAATTGACCCCTCGGCCGTACTTCGAACTGTTCACGTAAACCCCCGTGGCCTGACTATCCTGGTTGACGACGAATTTGTTAGAGAGATGCCAGAAGGCCAGGATATGAAGGTTCAGGCTGTCGAGATTCGTGAGGAATCGCCGTTCACTTCGCTCCCTCAGGAATCCGAGGGCGAGGCTGGAACGGGGGCAAAGAACGGATGGGAGCTGAGGCTCATATATTGACCACATAGCCCTTTCTGACCAAGAACCCCCGTTCCGTTATCATTGTTTAAGCGCTACTGTTTGAGCGTGTCCTGTAGGCGTAGCGTGGCGATTGGAAATCCCTGTTCCTAACACTCATTTTGGCCCTTCCAAAAAAAACACAAAATCGTGACACGGCGAAGTGCCATTACGGGTCCTTTTAGCCTTCAATTGTATCGCTCACTGAGCTGGTTTAAATCCAGACGTTTCCTATTTATTTTTGGTTTGCCTTCGCCTATGTCCTAGTTCGCTTTTTTCCTCTGCTGTTTTCCTTCAGCTTTTTGAATATTTGGGTGGTCTTGTACACGATGGACTATTTTTTCTCCTTTATCCCCTTTCCGCCTGATCTATCGGGGCAAGTAATCTCGTCCATCATACTATTATTTTCTTAGTACATGATCTTTATCTTCCTGTTACTACTAGCTTACTTGCTTTTTTCCTCCCAACTCTCTCTTTCCTTATGGCTCACTCACTGGGAACCCTCCCCCCCCTCCGATCTGGAATTTTTTTATTCCTCTTGCTGTCGTCTGTCATCACTCTTTTTTAGGTTATTTTGGGTTTCTTCTAGTAAAATGCTCTATTATATCCATTGGTGCATTAGCTCTGGTTATATTATCTAGTTTTGGTTTTTTCTTTTGGAAAATGTGGAAAAAAAATGCTTTGGTTCGAGGGGTTTTTTTTTTTCGGATGCTTCCGACCTGTTAAGGAGTGAGGGTTTGCTCGTCGTTGTGTTTGCTATATCATGAGCTTTTTGGTTACCCCTGTTTCTCTCATCCCTTTTCTTATCGTTAACCCGGGCCGTGGTTGGGATACCTGTTTCTGAATTCTTGTGAAGCTTAATTGGGAGATAGCAGCACGATATTATACTATCGGGCTATTGGTTGGATTGGTAGGGTAATTTCTCCGGGGTCTACCGGTATATGATTACTGTGTGCCGGGCTTCCGGTTCGTTTTCTTTTATTGGTGCGTTCTATGTATGTAGCATCGACGGCGCGATATCCCACTTGACCTCTCGATACTGTGGCAGCCTTTATTACCCTAGTTGCCATAGACTGGGGTACTATAGGGTTTAGGTCATAGGTGAGCACTCGTAGTCCGCATGGGGAACAACGACAGTTAGCATAATATCATAATAATATTATTATGATACTGAAAAAGTCCTTAGGCGTTGCCAAGACCTCTTGATCTCCTGGCTCTTTCCGGAACTTTCTCTCAACGACGCACAAACACACACACACCTCCCTCACTATCCCGGCCTACCTTTCCTATCCAACGTTCGAGGAAGAACAGGAGAGAAGAAGCGATCTTTATCACCGGGACACACGCCAATGAAGCGGTTACGCTGTGCGGCCTTACTCTGGGATCAATTGCTCCCAATCCGACATTCGGGCACTCGGCCGTTCCTGCCCCACCATATCGGGAGAACACCCCACTTCGCCGCTACCACGACCATTGCCACCACCACCAACCCACGACCACTTTCAACCAGTGCGGGAAACCGTGATTCTGCCACTGCACCAGCATCAGCATCAGCAGAGCCACCAGACCCCGAACCCCCACAAGCCACCCCGCCTCCGCCTCCTCCTCCTCCTCAAACAGAGCCAACAACCCTCCCGCCCTGCCGTTCCCCCACCACCTCCGCAAAGCTAGCAGCGCTGCACGCCCGCCTAAGCCTGCACCCAAAATTCCCCGTACAAACACTAGCGCGGGCGCTCATCCACCCGAGCGCAGACCCAAACCCACTCTTCAACAACCGCCCACTAGCATCGCTTGGCAGCGCACTGATAAACTACTATGCGACGGAGTGGCTGCTATGCACCTACCCGCGCCTGCCAACGGAAGTCCTAAGAGCAGCGTTGAGCGCGTACGTGGGTGAGAAAGCGCTCGCGGCGATGGGCCGCGAGTGGGGCGTCGAGAGCGCCTTTGAGCCAAAGGCAGACGTGGACGCTGGGCTCCTGCAATTCAAGCGTCTGCCGCCGGGGCCGGAGATGGAGGCTAGCGGGTACAAGCCGTGGCAGGAGAGGGGGGAGAGGTGGGTGCAGGGCGTGGCCGAGGAAGAGGCTATCGCTTCATTAGTCACTTCCACCTTCGCAGGTGTTTACCTGCACGAGGGGCTCGGCCCCGTCAAGCAGTTCTTTCGCCAGCATGTGCTCAGTCGCAGGCTGGATGTTGATAAGCTTTTCGACTTTGTTCAGCCCACCAGGGAGCTGTCTAGCCTTTGCTCTCGAGAGGGCTTCGAGCCTCCGGTTGCTAGGCACATTGGCGAGACCGGGAAGAGGTCCATTGCTCCCGTCTTCATTGTCGGCGTGTACTCCGGCTTGGAGAAGATCGGAGAGGGGCATGGCGGGAGTAAGGACGAGGCTAGGATTAGAGCTGCTACGAATGCGCTCAAGGGTTGGTACCTGTATTCCCCAGCTCCGCAGGTGGACCTGCCGAGCAAGACGGATGATGACCCCCGGGCTTCGTTTAGGCCCGCTGTGATTGATGCTGGCGAGGTTATTGTTTGATTTGGATTCGGTAGAATAGATGGTTTGTTGTCTATACATGTAACTATAGTTGAGAGCCTGTGGATCGAAGAGAGAAAAAGAAAAAAACGTGTTATTCTTTTTGTATACAAAATCATTCCTTCATTTTTCTCTTTCTTGCTTGCCTTTTTTTATACACACATCCATCCTGTGGGCAGCGCGGGGGCGGGTAGGGAAGCACCCGCTCGATCGAACGTGAAATCACATGGTGTATGAAATGCAAAAGGGAGCAATCTAACACTTCTAGTTGCACTGTACAGCATTAAGCAAACAAAAATCTATGCTGATGGGGCGAAGCACAAAGAAAAAGGAAAAAATGAAAGAGAGAGAGCATGAAATCCGTGTTCTTTTGAAGATTCTGAAGGCAAACATCCTCCCTCTCTCTATACCCGGCCCAACCATAATATGCCACATAGAAACCGCCATACTACCAGCCCAGAGGTGCCAGTTATTAACAAAGTTTCCACAATCGCCCTCATATAACAAAACTTCCCAATAAAACCCCCGGTAAAACCTAATAAACAAGAGAAAAAGAATGGAGTCTCCTATCCCCCCATATGTATTTTTTTTTTATGTGCCAGAAAGGTCCTCCCGGTAATGGAGGAATATTATCAACGATAGTCAAACAATTCCAAATTCACAAGTCGTTCCTAAAACAGAGAATATTTAGGAGCGGAACGGGTAAGTCGTAGGTCGCTACTTATTTATAGAGTATTGAAAACCCATCCACACACTGAGCATAGCTTCCCGAAACGCCGGCTATCGAACGTCCCCGGGGAGGTATCAACGTATTGCTACTATTCATTGTCTTTAGTTCCGAGTTAAATATTCAAGGTGGGCTGAATTACCTTGCACCGCCGCCATGCGGATTTCCAAACATAGGTGACCGGCGTCCAAAGCTCGTCAGGATCTCAATCCCCTCGACCTGAGCCCCCGAGCGTACACAAAACCCAAGCAGGCTCTCCCCCTTTCTTGTATCCAAAGGAAAGTCCGAGACCTCAACTTTTTCTTGGTTCTCGCAGCTCTCCCTGCGGCCAAATAGCTGCGTTGATGAATCCTCATACATGAACTCTAATCCTCCCAATGCCGAGTTGTGAAAAACTCTGATGCTTGTCAACATCCTCCCGGGGGCCACTGTATGCAATATAAGCTGTTGAGGCTTAGATCCGCCAGCCTTCGGTCTTCCGAGTGAAGAGCTTTTGAATGCCACCCCGTAACCATTTGGCAATTGGACCTTTGAGCTTTTGACAGTCGAAAAGTCTTCCACAACTGTTTTCCCTTGCCCCGCAGAGTATATCCTAAGTTTCATAGGCTTAGTTTTATGACCATCCGTCAGACTTGCTCGGAGGTCATCTTCGAGCAACGAAACCTCCCGCTCTGGCTTATTGGTAAACTCCCGATGCGCCCGATAAACGCCATCCGTGTAGATCTCCACCAGAACTATACCGCTTTGAGCCCCAGAAACAATGCCACTTTCAACGGCATAGACTTGCGGGTTATCCGGTAGAGTAGGTGGCACAGGATCTGTTGGAATCCGGAAGCAAGGGTGGTAACGAAACCGAAGACAATCAACCCTTTATGCTCGAGTATCATCAGCTCCCGGACAACACGCCGCGAGCAAAAAGAATCACATACCTAGACCAACCAGACTCATTTTTGGGAACACAAAACCTTGAAACACTTCAGCGGTAATTCACATAGCCGTTGATCCAGAAAAGACATACCTCAGCCCGGGAGATTTTGTTCGAAATGAGTATGGCTCCTACGGTCCCGGTAAATTATCGGAAGAAACACTTAAGAGGCTTTCTTCAAATGGGGGTCAAACCTTCATCAAAAAAGTTCTATTGATATGCTCAAGCTCACGGGGCTGGGTCGGTGGCTGGGGGCTGATGAAAGCTTCCATCATGTTTTTCATCGCAGATGTAGCAATTTCCCTGATTTTTCACCACACATAAGCCCGATGCAGTGTCGCGACAAAACCCGGTACCAGGAATGGCCTACCAAAAGCTTCCAGACTCAGGGGAATCGTTATTCCCAATTGCACCACCGGGGCGAGAACAGTCGCTGAACTATAAACCCCGTCAGCTCTGGATAAAATCTATGGATTCCGTATGAGAGTCATACCGCGGAAACCACATCTTCCAAGTAGGACGGGAGGGTGTATAACGAGCGGCTACCACAGAGACCCAAACCACCACTAAATGCGGAACGATTTATAAGATCTCCAAATCTCAAATCTCCCTTGGCATCAAGAACTAGTACGGCAACATGACGCTTCGTCGCGGGTGCGATTTCTCCGAAGTAATCCTCTACCGCCTCGGAGGCAATATCCCAGATGCCTTGAACGTCCTGGGAGGCCTCTCGTTGTCGAATATCTTTGACAAGTAAGCAACGGTTATATGGGGCAATAAAGCCAAGAATTATTACCCCCAACTGTTTTCTGAGTACGTAAGACGTGGACCTTTGCAACACTCCTCATCACTCCGTCATCTCTACTGGATAAGGAATCTGCTACCCACTCCTCCTCGAGTCGAAAACACCGTCGGCCTAAGGCCAGCGTTAGAATCCTAATTACCAGATGGAGAGGGAAAATATAACGAGGTTACCCAATCTGTGCCTGAACATTTGCTCACCAGTAAAAATCTGCGCAAGATAACTTTGTGCTCATCAGAAAACCGACTAGTCTTACGGGTGATGTGGTCTCATACGCTGCCATTCGGAGTTTCTTCTTCGCCATCCGTACATCATTCCCTTCACGCAGCCTTAGATCGCCATGACACTCATACTCTCCCAGAGAATCCTTCGCAAGCAGTATAGCGAGATGAAGGGGTGGGCAGGACGTCAAGGGCAGGAAATTAACTGCAATGCCGGAACTGGTTGGTGCGATCTTGGAGGCAGAGAAGTCAAAGCGTAGTCGGTTCATCCCCGGATCAAGGTGCACAAGAACCTTGAAGTGACCACTTGTAACCGGCCATTGAGTAGCCGGATATCCCTCCAGGTGGTGGTGTACAGTAACGGTCCCATCAATTGGCCGCTCGGGCACCCCAACCTCCCCAAACACCAAAATTACACTCTGATGAAACCATTGCCCTTCCTGGGCAGAGATAAGGCGGGGAGCAAAAGGTGATAGAGGTACTGAAGCTGATCTGATGGCTGGACTGGGAGGACTCCCCTTTTATCAGGTGTTAGCGGTGCTTCCCTGGGAATTTCTCGGGCAATTCAAGGTACGCACATTTGGATCTGTCCTGCCGCTACTGGAAGTATATACCCCAGAAGTGGGCCACGAGGGACGAGCTCTCTCTGGCGAGGAACGACGAGTAGCTGACACAGAGCTATCAGATTTGGATTTGTCGCTTGGAAAGTTCAAGAAAGTGCCCAGGGTATCAGTGATGGAGGTCGTAGAGTCCGTTTTGATAGAAGGCGAGGGCCCTCCAGATTTGCCAAAAAAAACTGTGCGAGATTTTCGCAAATTAGGGAACTTCATTTTGGACGAGAGGCGAGTACCGGTATGCGAAGGAGATTCGGTCTGAGAAGGCATGCACGGTTATTGTCTATAAACTACGGGGTAGGCTAGCGAGGCTACCGGTACCGGGTGCAATTGGACAAAAGTACGCTAATGGTGAGACAGCCAGGGAGAGAGTGTGTGTGAAATAATGCAAAAAAGCGAGAGGCGTAATTAACACAACAATAGGAAAAACACGCGAGCAGCTGCAAAGCAGCCAAAAAGAGGGTTCACAAAGAAGGAAGAAAGAGGAGTGGTGGTGGTGGTGGTGGTGGTGGTGGTGGTGGTGGTGAGGGAGAAGGGTGGGGTAGAGGGAGAGGAAGAAAGCAAGGAGGGAGGGGGGGGAGGAATGTACTCGAGTACGCATTCATGGGATGAGGGAGGAAGTGGAAGTGGAAGAATAGAATGAGAAAAGAGGGAGGAGGAGTAGAGAGCTTGATGGACAAGGGAGCCGGTAGCAATCCCCGACCGTTTGGTGAAGATCAGAGCGAATACCGGCACTGAAGACTACACCGCCATGGAGTAGGCAGGAAACCGGAGACATGGCAGGATGCGAAAACTAATGAAGGTTCAGTATAGCAATTTTGGATGCTTGTATACCGGAGGGCCGGATGAGCAAGTGGATGGGTCAATCACCGAGAAGGCGGATGGTGATTGGTGTACTGTACGAGTACTTATCAATTGGCGAGAGGGAAGGCAGAGCTTGTTACGGTACTGTACGAGTACGGTATCTGAGATTCTCTATCTTTGCACCGCACCGGTACCTGTACCTATGTGGGTTTGCCTATCGTGCCGTGGGGTGTGTGTGTGTGTGCACTCGGCGATCTACAGGCACTCGTACCTTGGAGCCCGCCCTCCATCCCAGATGTACGAGTACGCCATCCCAATCACATAACAGCTCATCCAGCCTCGGCGCTGAGGAAAGTACGGTATAATAATAATGAAACCTGTGATAGCCTATGATACCCAGGCCGCCGGGACCGCGGCCCAAAGGCGGCGGAGATGCACCCATTGGTTCACCATCCGATTGCACAGGTTGGAGATTTCGAGGTTCTGTGGATGGGAGGAGCTGATCCGGAGAGGGAACGCTACAAGTAGAGAGAATCATCACATATCACCAGTCAGACCGCACGGTGTTTCCAGCAGCGTTAATATCTTGAATGTAATGGATGTTAGGTCCGGATCATGTTTACGAGATCAAAAAGGTTCCCTCCGTCTGATCTTGATCACTTCCGGTCATCGTCGTACTGCGCCCGAGCAGATCCTGTCCTTCCGCCCTGCCATTGAAAGACAATCGGACCAGACGGATGGCTTTCTCTAAACCCACGAATTGGAACTTTCCGACTGCTGTTGGAGCCTCCAAGCATAACATAACATTCATGTACGTCATCTTCCCGCAGCGGTGCTTCTTTGGTTCCCCCCCCCCTTCCCTTGCCCTTCATCCCAAAACAGGCTTGTTTAATCGGGAATAGGAAATAACAGAGCAAAATAAGGTAAATGCAAGAAAAGCTGAACAAATTTGAGCCTCTTTTGTTGGGGTGTACCGTACTGTAAACACACACTGTCCCGCCCTCTTGGATGCCTCCTTGGCTTTTTGGTCCTTGGACCGTTATCCCTCATAAGTTCCACGGGAGAGGGAGAAAAGAGAGGCAAAACTCTCCCTCGCCCCATCCGCGCCTATCTATCCCTACCCGCCTCCCCTAGTTACAGTACGGGTACGGTACTTTGCCCACCTAGCTTTGCGCCCGAGTAAGCTCCGCTGACCATTTGCCTCCACCCTATTCCCTGAAGACCGATCTCTGTCCAATCATATCACCCTGGCTTCAAGGGCGTTTTGGGTCTTCTCAGCTCCTCCCGTGGGGTCAAAACCCAGAAACCCCGTACAAAAAAAAAAAATCCTAGTGAAGTGAAAAAAAAAAAAAAGAAAGAGAGAGAGAGAGAGCGAGAGAAAGACAAGGGGAATCAAAGAACTACTATCCGGAAGGATACTCACACAAGGAAAAGGTAATTCAAAGAGAGGATACCTAGATTAATTTTTCCTTTCACTATTCCCCCTCCAATTCTCTGCTCTGCGTTCTGTGTTTTCGTTTTTGCGGCAAGCAACAGGAGTTCGGCGTCAAACTTAACCTCTCTCCACTTGTGTGAATTCCCGCCCCGTCCCCTTAACAAGGCTTTTTTTCCCCTTCCACATTCCCCATCACCTATCGTATCCGACTGCGGCAGCGTTTGTTACTTTCATAAACCCATTCTCCCACAACCACCGCTCCCTTTCAACAATAATTATATCTATATCTGTATCTGTTTCTCCTGGCCCCTCTGGGAACATGTCTTCCTTGCCGCTATCTAAACCTTGGACCGAGAAACAGACAAAAGAGGTCATCAGAAAAGTCATTCGACGGGCGGAGGTATCAAGGGTGATTTCTCCTCAATTTCCCCGCACCCGAGAAATCGGCGTGGTGCCTATTTTGGGCTTTGCTAATGCTTCTAGTGCCTAGATCGCAAGGCTTCTTCAACACCGACTTGCACTCGCAAACTTCAAGACGAAGAATGGTTGGGAAAACTTAACCCTGGATACTATCGAACCCAAGGTCGAAGAAGACCTACGAAGGAAGCGTCAGTCCGGGTCACAGGAAAAATCACCGTCACCAGGGACCTCCTTTTTCAGTGAAGGGGATCTCGAATGGTTACGGAAAAATAAGACAAACGTGCAACAGAAACGACGAGGCAGCCAATCGTCTGGTATCGGCCCCCTCCCGAACTTTCGCAACTCCAGAAAACGTGTACGGGCATCTTCATCCGCAGAATTCCAACAACCATCATCCAAACGTCGCCAATCGTGGAGAGACCAAAACCGTACCGTACAGTCATCTCCGGGATATCGATATGGGGCAGGCGAGGGTAAGGATGGCCTCGAGCATGGCTTCCACTCAAGTCCCCCTCGCACCCCACCAAGGCGTGTAGCCAAACCGGGGAATGCGAACAAACCAGCGGGTGATCGTGGCGCTGACCTCTTGATATATCTCGCAACATCCCCCTCCCCAGCTGGAGTAATGCCAAAAGCAAAGTTCACCCCAACCACACCTCCATCAAATTCATCAGCCCTCCCATCATCCGTTATGAATACCCCGGGAGCTCCCCAAACCCCACAAACCGGCTTTAATTTTGCCGATTTTGTCAATATCACACCTTCCCCAGCTCAGGGCGCTTGGGGCTCCGTCGGCGCCGGGAGAGGAACTCCAATTGCAAACGCTCGCAAGAGGCTGAATTTCGATCAACTCCATCCTCCCACGGGATCCCCTTCAGTGCCAGCTGGTAACAGCCGACATACCACTGGGTTGGGTATGGAGTTAGGAGGCGAGCTAGTGTCTTAGAAGAAGGAGAGAGTTGGCCGTGGTGCTTTTGCGGGGTCTCATTTTCACGCTGGTGTTTCGGTTCTGCAGTTGCCTCAAAACTAAGTTTCGGGTATGGACAGTGGCTTTCGTTTCTATCCCCTTTTCCTTTCCTTCCGCCATATTATATATCTTTGTGGGGAGGGGGGGCCATCCTATATCAATTTTAGTCTGAATATATTTTTATTGGTATTTTTTTTTCCACCTTATCCTCTTGCCCTAGTACTCGAGTACCGGTATATATATATCGATTTTTCCGATTGTTTTTTTTTTTTTTTTTTACATCAATCCACCAAGTTGGGACAAGTCTGCGGCAGTTATTCATCCGAAAGTGGGTTGGTGGAATGGGGCATCGGATACGAGTAGAAGTTAAGTTACCGTAATGCGACAGAAGAGAAAAAGAAAAGAAAAGAAAAGGGAAAGGGAAAGGGAAAGGGAAGGTCAGGGATAAGTTCAACAAACGCGTCCTTACTCAAGGAAAGGGACGAACGCGAGATAGCGTAGCGGAAACACGAGGTCATTTCTATTTTGGGTGAATTATTGGAGGGCTGTTCCATTCTGTAGAATACTCAACCGGCAGCTGATCCATTCCCAAAGACCAGCCAAAAAAGCATTGAGCGGGCCATGTCTGACACCCAGGAGGAGCATACATCACGAATCAAGTTCGGAGATTGCAAAATTGGGCGATGTGCAACCCTTGGAGAGACAGGGAGAAAAGAAAAGAAAGGAAAAAAAAAAAAGGTTGGATGTTGTGGGAATGGTACTGGACTCCTAAAGTACTCGTGCGTCTCAGCCAAGATTTTTGACACCCCATCGGTCCTAGTGGGTGGCACAAATTCTTCTCTGCTGAAGGGGCATACCAGTGGTCCACTGTACCTTACCGTACTCGTAGTGTGTAGTGTGTAGCGAGCATGAGGGCCTAACTCTTCTGAGGAAAACAGCGTACAAGTATGCCGCGATCCGGATACCCTCCAATAGTCACTGCAGGCCACTGCACCCATTCCACACTTCTAACAAACCGTACGAGTATTGTAGTCTAAGTTACCCCCTTCGATGGAAAAGAACTGGGTGCCACGAGCTAGGACAAATGGGCTCCCAAATCTTGGCTGAGAAGCACGAGTACGGTACTCGAGTATCGTAAGCTAAGCGGGAGGTATGATACAAGTACTCGAGTACGATAGGCCAACCCCTGTCTGCCCACCGTTGCAGAATTCGGACATCTGTTTCAATCCGTGTCAATAAATCCGACAATTACTGGTACTGTACGAGCACTGTACAAGTGCAGCCCCCCCCCCACCCCCCCGAGCAGTAAGCTTAGGCAATTAATCTTGGGTGATGGAGATGGGGGGGGGGGGGGATGAGAGAAGCCAAGGCCCACCGGTATCCATACTTGTACTATGAAGGGGAAGGAGAAGAGGAAGGAGAAGAAGAAGCAGAAGAAGGAGAGGGAGAGGGGGAGATAGGATACGGTACGGTATGATATAATATTTTTGGTCGATTGATGGTGGGAACACAACAGGCAGTGCGGTGCTCGTTGGGCCGTAAGTTAATAAGTTAAGACCGTTGCTTGGGAGTCAGCAATGACAAAAGGAGGTGGTGGGGACGCTGGCAGCTGGCTGGACAAGGTGCGACCTTAATTTACGGTTCAAGTTACATTTGTATCGCGGGGTGCCTGTACAGTGCTGTACCTGCGCACCCTGCTGTATCATACATAAAAGCAAACAAGTGCAAGCACGATATCATAATAATTATTATCATACTTCGCGAGGCTTTTTAAACGCCGGGAGTCAGAAGGAGGAGTTGGGAAGTGATAATACTTGAATTCTTGGACTGGGTGATTGCTCGTGATGGGAGGGAATCGGGGGGATAGGGTAGTGGTGGTGGGGAGGAGGTTGTCCGCATAATGATACAAACCCTAATCATGTACTCGAGTAGAGGGTATCATACTTTGCGGTACGATATGATACCGGATGACACCGGCACCATATGCACTTGACGCTGTCAATCGGAAGGAGGAAGGAGAGATAATACGAGTATTGGGGGCTTGCAGCGGCATCACAGCAGCGCCGCTGCAGACTGTCCGTCTGTGTTTGCCGCGATCCTCTGTGCAGCAGCTGTACGGTACTCGTACTCGAGTATATTCGGGTCACCGGCCAACGGTACTTGTAGAGCACCAAATTGTCCCTCTCCCGGCACAGCCACGCTGTGGACCACCCTTTTCACGTTCACTTCTACGTACTGTACGAGTACCCTTCCCTCCCTCGCTCTCTCTATCTCGTTCGTTGATAGTCGTTTGAACTCTCCTTCTTCCGAATTCTGCGTGCCCCTCTCGCTAAATCGTCCTTCCCCCCCAAAGAAGCCCTCCTCGCCTCCCATCTACGCCACACGCACCCAATCAAAACATCGGAGGGAGAAAAAGTAAAAAGGCCGGGAAAAGAAAAAAAATATCTAGGCAAAAGTGAAGAAAGGGAACGGATTACATACTCTCGCATAGCCCACTCTCATGAACACCATCGCCAGGTTTTCCTGTTGCCTGTGAACTCTTCAGAAGATTCTAACCCTCACACTCGTTGTTAAACCTTCAACCACCTTCCTTAGTATTGTCGTTGTGTCTCACGAGGAATCCATCAATCCTCCTCCCTCCTATTTCTCCGTGGTCGTCGTTGAACACCAGCCGTTCGTTTGCTGACCCTGTTGTTTCCTGACTCCTGTCCGTTTCGGTGATTCGGATAGGAAAAGTCTCCGAATCGCTACAGTATCGTCACACTCTCCCCTTTCCCTTTCTTCGCACACTCTCTCCAATCCTTCTTTCCCTCAACCGAAAAAGCCTTCGACCCCCAAACCCCCCCCCCCCACGGTCAAGCCCTAGAAAATTCAAAGGTCAGTCTTTTCTGAAGCTTTGATTTTAACTTTCTCCCTCACACCGCCGGGCAATCCTTCTTCGGCTTTAACTCCCGCCGCGCGCCCTCACCCTCATTTGCCTTCTCCCTTACTTTCCTTTTCTGTCGTACCCATCCCCCCCCCCCCCAGTCACACTTGTCAACAGCAGCACAGGGAAAACAGGCACATCAACAAGCCGTTCCTGCGTTGAGCTGCCCTTCCACTACACAACCGGCATCTCACGAGTGAGCGAGTCCGGTCTTTGAAAGGTGTGTAATTGTTCATTCTTCCCCTTTAACTCTGTTCCTTCCTTGACTCCTCCTATTCCAACTCTGGTGGCTTCTCACCGCCACCGACTCCAACAAACATCACATCTGTCATTGAGTTGTCTCATTCCTTTGGCAACTCTGTATACGTTGCTGATCCGACCGTGTCCATTCTATCAGCACAACTCTGCACATTCGTTACCACCACAGGTGGCTGCTCGTCGCCCCTGAGCAACTCTCTCCCAACACCAACGTTAGATCATTTTTCCGTCACACGATGAAGCAGATAGCTACGGTTTTGTTCACTGCTTTGGCAGGATATGTTCATTTTTCCGCTGCGGGTGACGCCGTCTACCACGGATGTTACAACAGTAGTGGCTCCCTTCAGACAAAGGGGGAAGATAATTTTCAGTCACGAGGGAAATGTAGGGAAACTTGTGTTAAGTCACCGGGCTATTCGGTACAGGCGATGACCAACAGTACATTGTGTTTGTGTGGAAACTTTCTTCCAAACGATGCATACAAGGCGGATGATAGCAAATGCAGACAAGGATGCCCGGGTTTTGAGGATGAAACATGTGAGAACCTCCATGCTTGATACTTTCTCTATTTTTTTATCCAGCAAGCAAATCTTCGAATATTTGATCCAACTGACGCGTTGTATAGGTGGTACTCGCTTGGGTGACTACTTCTCGGTCTATTTGTCCGGATTGGAGGAGAACCCTGACCAAGATCCTGTTTCGTCCTCGTCGTCAAGTTCGCCCACTTCAACGGGAGGTATGTGTCGATTATTATCTATGATGGTCAACATCCTTGCTGACCCTCGATCAAGATGGATCCACCGTTTCCCACCCCACGGCTATACCCACCTTGAATAAGAACCAATCCTCATCGTCCGCATCTTCAGAGCCTAAGAAATCTGTCGACAAAGCCGGTGTCGCTGCTGGGGTAGTTGTGGGTGTGTTGGCGTTACTGGGGATTGGGCTGGGACTTTTCCTTTTCATCAGGCGGAGGAAGAGACAGCAGGTCGAGGAGGAGTACAAGAGGTCGGTAGCAACTAGGGGGTTTGCGAAGAAGCCTCAACAGGACCACCGACTCGACCCTGTCATGATCCAGAGGAGAGACAGTGCTGGGAGCATTGCAGATAATCAAGACTATTCGAGGAGAATCCTGAAGGTCGGGACCCCCGCCTATAAGTTTTGCTAATTTGCTTCGCTGACAAGTTTGTGTGCAGGTCACAAACCCAGACGATAGGTAAAAGTTCTTCTAATGGCAATGATAATTGGAGTCGTGTTCGACATGTCTTGAGAGACACGAAATGGTCTACTCTTTCCTTTGTACCCTTTCTGTAGCCCCATTGCCTTTTGCTTTATATCCATCCTCTCTGTTGCCTGTCAATATCAATTTCCGCGTTATGTAACGTTTTCGAAGGCTGTCATGGGCACTGGCAAACTGGTGGGTACGATAGGACGGAGGTATTCAAAGCAATGCGGGTTCCTTTCCTTTTTTTTTGTTTAGGTGATGGGATTGGGCGTGATTGGGAGGGCATTGGCGAGGATGGAGAGAGTAAGGGGACAAAGTAGCTGATCCTGCTAAAACTCTTCTTATTTACTTTGCTTGTTTCATCCCCCTCGCCTTTTCTTTGTATCGTTGGTTTTTCTATGTTCCTTTTCTGCCTCTGATTCCTCCTGCTTTTACTTCATGTCGTTATTTCCTTGTATTACTTTTATTCCTTCTTCATACTAGAGCATCTTATATTGTCCGGATGGATTGACCAGTCGGCCATTTGGTCGGCTTGATACTACACTTGCAAAGCGAGGCTAGGGGAATAAGACGGGGGGAATCGGGAGCAATTTTTTCTTTTTTCACACATCGCACTCCAACACTGCCATAAAAAATTAACACTTTTGTACATTTTCACTTTGGGGGTTCCTTATTTTCTCTCTTTCTTCCACTCTTTCCATGTGTCCCCTTGTGTGTGTATCTCTCTTTCCTTTCTTTTCCGTACCTTCGTGTTAATACTAGAATCTCGCCGCTGGTAGATGAGGGACTGATAGTTTGGCTTTTTTCATATTTTTTTCACCATTTTTATATTGGATCTTGATGTGTGAAGGAAAGGAAAGGGAGGATCAGATCTTGAGGAGGTGCGGGGATGTAGAGGTGAGGAGGAGTTGAAGGAAAGTGTGGGGGGGGGGGGATAAAGGAAAAGAATCGCTCTATCATTTGAGGTCGTATATCATGCCATTCACGTGTCGTATTGTAGTCTTTTTTTTCTTTTTTTCTTCTTTTTCTTTTCTTGCTGTTTATTTTTCTATCTTTCTATTCTACTTTGTCTCGTCCACCAAATATCTCTCTGTCCGTCCGTATACCGGTAAGAGGGGCTCTCTCTCTCTCTCTCTCTCTCTCTCTTCTCTCTTACG